AGCATAAAAATATGCACAAAAATATCATCGAACATTTCGTTTCGGCAGACTTTACAGCCGCAATACGATGTTAATGATGCGAATAAAGACTCTGTTAACTTTGTTATTTCATTCAATATATATGTATATATGTAATGCTATATATATTGTCTCCTTGTTTTGATTAAGAAACACCAACTTAGTAAATCATCTGTTTTTTGGAAAATACGCGAACTGAACTTATTTAATTTTACAAGTTGGCCTAAAAGCAGACCGCCATAATTTTTTTTTTTTATTATCAAATTAAACGAAACAGTAGCTAAATTTTCTGCTATTTACAGAAAAAAGATAATACTCTATGCTAATTTACAGAAAAAACGTAATACTCTATGCTAATTTACAGAAAAAACGTAATACTCTATGCTATTTACAGAAAAAACATAATACTCTATGCTAATTTGCAAAAGTCGGCAACAGGCCCCATTTGTTCCAAATTCTCTGCTAATCAATAAAAAACATCAGTTGAAATTCTATACAAACAAACAAACAATTTGGCAATTTAACAACAAAAACACCAGTAGTAGTGAATAAGTAGTGAATAAAGCATATAAATAAAGAAAATAAAGTGAAAATAAAGTGAAAATAAATAAAACGTTTATAAAAAATATATAGCATATTGCGGCTTTTCTTTTTCTTATGCAAGCAAAGCCAACGTTAACAGGCAGGTCGTTGACGGTTTTTAACTCTGTTGTTTTTAATTTTTGTTAAAGCAAGAATAACTGTTAGAGCAACGGTTTGTTTAAATTAGATTTTGCAGAAGTAAATACTTCCGCTTACGGCTACTTGGTAGAGCTGTCTGCAATCGTACACGTTATTACACTTTCACAACGCTGTCAAAACGACCACTATTTTTGTAAAGATTTTGTTTGGTTTGTGCTGGTTGTTGTTGCAAAATAGTGGTACCGCGTGTATTGCTTACATTTCAAAACTAGTAAGAGTGAGAGAGACAGAGAAGACGATTGCTTTTAATAAATATGAAATTCTGTATTGTTATCTCTTTGCTGCGTTTATTCGATTTCAACCTAAGCGAATCGGAAAGTTTTTGTTATATTTGAAAAACAATATATTTTTCAAACAGCGCCGCGCTAGAGTCATGCATAGAAATCCTTGATACGATTGCAATGCCAAGCCCAACGAAACAAATTGACGAAAACTCAGCAATAAACTCATCGGTAAGCGAAAAATTTTCGATAAGCAGTTAATAACAGAACATAACGTTTGCTAGCGAATTCCAATAGTTAACGAAAGGGCATTTAACTATAGCTTTCAATGACAGCATGCTTGTAAGTCACTCTTAAGGTTGCACTGCACGTCCAATCTCAGTAATTTCCTTAAAATGGAGATGTTACCGTGGAGTGCCTCTAAAAAACAATCGTGGAACATGTTCAACAAAAGTAAGTTATTGGTAAATAAGTAAAAGTGTTCAATATTAGTATCGTGGCCTCCACGATTTGCGGTACAAGGGTATATTAGGTTTGTACAGATGCAACAAAAGGAACAAAACCCCTCTTTTTATTATCCCCAACTTCTTTGTTCGTATTTTCTTCTTGCGTCTAGAGGTCACAATTTTTGCTATATTTTGATATAATTTGGTACACTGACGACTCTTGGCCCAAGTTCAAAAAATATTAAAAATGGTTCCAGTCGAGACGCTTTTCCGAGCACACAGTCAGTAAATCCATGACACTTAGCGTTTGCCCACACATTAGGATCCACCCAAGACCACCCTATTTCTATCTCTTTCCCCACTTTATTTTTACCGTCACCGTGTTACGCAAACACAGGGACATTCCTTGAGTGACATTAAAAAAAGACAATTCTGGATTCTGAATTCAATCAATTAATTGTACAATCACCCACCTGGCCAGAATATAGCAACTGATGACGCACGATTCGCTTGCAATCCGATCAGAAACAAAGCATTTTCTTATGAGGCGTCAATTCGTTTGTGCAATTTTATCTGTCATGGGCGGAAATCTTTTTTGCATGTTATTTTCGTAGGGGCAGTTGTAGTTTAAGGGACTGCCCAATTCCTAAATAAGCCTCCGTTCTCGCCCAAAATGTAGGATATATTCGAGTAAGGGTCTTTAGATCTGGCACTAGAAATCCAATCGTCCTGAAACCGTCAAAGGACGCGAAATTTCTCCATCAACCAATTGCAACCAATTGGACTTAAGCAGTCACAATAAATAACCACTTACAGCATTAACACTACAATTACCGAATACGTCATTTTGATCCTTGTTGGCTTTCGATCTTCGAAAAAACGTTTATAAAGACTGTAATGTTCCAACATTTTTCGATTTCATTTATTTTCATGCAAAATGTTTCGAGATATCGGTCGCATAGAGCTATTTCTACCAAACGGCATCATATTTGATTCTCTATTTTTGTCGTCTTACCACAGTCGCAATTGAAATTTCGCAGAAACATTGCTTGGTCGATTAGAAACGAATGCCAAAGCCCAGTTGCGAACTGTCCACGTATACGTGCACATGTTCTACCTTCACTTTGGGAAGGCGATATGTCGCCAAATTTAGGAGATCAAAATGTTCCCTTTTGTTAGACCTATGTCTATGTGCAAAATGTCGGTAGTTCTAGTGTTGAAAAAGAAACGGCAAAAACTTGTTAAAACAAAGTATCACATAGTTGGCCTAAAAAAGCTTTAATTGACGTGTAAACAAACTGCGTGCAAGTTGGGTAACGTCGGTAGTTTAAAGAAAGATGAAAATCTATTGTTTTTTTTTTCTTTTCGTATAACAAGTCCACATCAAATGGTTCTCTCGACTTAATGATTAATCATACCCGATTTGTATTCTTTCTTCTGATATAAAAATTGGAAATTTCTAAATATTTTTTACATGAATTAATAACTAAAAATTTTTATTACTTTCAATTTTGAATTGAATAGGATTACAATATGGAATTAAAATGTGCTTTATTTCCTTAGAAAAAAACAAGAAAAAAATATTCAAATATTTTAAAGACCCTACAAAAAACATATGTAAATACAATCTAATAAATATATATATATATATATATTTTACTCCAACTCCTCAAACGAACAGAGCAAAAAAATATATATATATATGCAAATGTAAAATAAAATCGCAAACAAAACATCAGTAAAACATCAAAAGCCATCTCGTAGCATAATCGAATCCTATCTTATATTTTCACATCGTTTAAACATAAATTTCTGGCACAAAAGAAAAAAAAGAAGAACTAGTATTCAACTTGTAGCGAAAATTGTTGATGACTTTGTAATTTGTTTCTATACTCATTCTTTTTTTATAATTTTTCGCAACTTCTTTGTTTTTATTCTATTCTTAAGATCATTTATCAAGCGAGCTTATTTGACCGCTCGAATAAAATTTAAGGACAGAACATAAGGAACACTTATCTAAGGAACAATTGAAAATTTTTTAATAAATCTTTTGTAATTAAGTCCCCGAATGAAGATGAAGAAATGTGTTTACAAGCCTACCAACACAAATCACTTTCTACACTCGTTTGCGCTTTACACACACACACACACACAAACAAAAACACACACACACACACACACAATATAAGCCATACATAATAGTTTAGGTAGTAGTAGGAAGTGTTTGTTTAGAATGCAAATCAATTTACACAAAGTTGATATAGTCGATCTTTATTGGATCGTTCTTGTACTTAACTGCTATATGCATTGATAGAGGCGGTGGGAAGCGGACATAGGACGTACGATAACCCATATGATACAATATTTATTGCAATGCAAAATTAAAACTTGCCTTACACAGCAGGAACGATCAATCATCATCATTACCAAATTATGCCCATGATGATCTAACTCTTTTCGAATTCTCCCTGATATTGGTATTGGTTAACTCACTATCATTTGTCAGAATCGCCCATTGTCAGAGTTCGCTTGTGTTCATTGCATCTTGGCCGTTATTTTTGTATTTATTACATGCTTTAGCCAATAGTTTGCTTCATTGTCCGTATAATGTGTGTACATATGCTTTTGGCATATAACAAATAAATAAATCTTTGCCACACCTATAACGGTATCAATTAAAGAATACACCTTACATTAAGAAAATCATGAATTTAATGAGACAAGCACGACATACATATTTCGCTAATAAGGTTTCACTAGCTCAAGTTCCAAAACGTAGCACGGCTTAAATGTAACTTTCATTCGTTTGCTTTGTCGGATATTTTAGTAATATATCGCGGACAAAGTGGCAGCGCTTACACGCAACTTACTTGATGTACTGGATGGAGCTATAGCAACAATATTCTGTACTACGAGGCAAAATCAAATGCTTTACAGAATGCAACTTTCGCTATCAAAATTGATGATGGGAATTGATGGCTCCGACTGATCGCATATAGAGAACGGAGCGATAATTCTTACGAACTATTGAATTCAAGTGCTTTAATAATCTTATCTTTAGAATTAATTGATACACGTTACATAATCTGAAGAGCTAATTGGATTATATATCGTATTTATGTTAACTCGAATGTTGTATACCGGCAGCCGTAGGCAGACAAGTGAAGGGCATTTGTGTCAGTCTTCGTTACACCAGTGCCAGTGCCAGTGCCAGTGCCAGTGCCATGCACGGAATTATTGATTCTACAACTAATATATAACATGCGGGCTTTTTGAGTTCTTACGCTACTGTTTTGATTGTAAATCGCAACGAGACCTTGTCCCTGTATCGTACAGCATTCTGGCTAGAAGCTTATATTAGCATATTGGTAGCATACTTGTTTTTAACAAAGATTGGTCAATAAGTCAGAATAAACGACTTTCATGCAATCGCGAGATTTGAGAACATGATTGTCTTATAGTTCCTTGATTACGTATGTATGTGCCTTTGTATAAGTGTTAGTAAATTTGTATCGTATTTATCTATATATACCTATTTATATTTACCATTCATATGTATCATTTATATATATATATATATATATATATGGGTATAATGGGGCGGTGCGTGTGTGTGCATATTCATAAAAATGTCAAATATAAAATTGATGTATTTATGTTCAAGCAAGGATTTCATTTCTTACTGTTCCGCTGATAATACAAAAATTACCCAAGTATTTGAAGCTTTCGAATATGTGTTTATGTATGTATGTATATATATATATATCTATACCTACAAAGAAGTAAGTATAGCTATTATTTATTCGCACGTTTTCCATAAACGGAATAATATGAATATGCTTTGTTGTGGCCTCTAAAACAATTGTACTGTCAAATACGTCATCTTAAACGCTGAGAAGTTTCATAATGATTTCATACGATGAATTTTTTCACCATACACTACATTTTTCAATTGGATTCATTGGTGAGTCCGGTGTGCATTGATATGCTTCAGCAAAGTCTTTTGAATTTGATAAGGGACCAAGAACACGTATTGAGCCCGGCGAATGCACAGAGGAACGTATTTTAGTCAAGGCATCTTCGGGACGCATTGAACCGCACCATATTTGAGCGTAATTCAAAAAAAATAGTTGATCGTGAGTAAGATTCAAACCTGGCAAAAGCAGTTCAGGCCCGTGTTGTTTAACCCATTTTTTATAGGCCTAGATAATAAAAACAAAAAACACAAAAAAGAGCAAAACTTGTTTCTATCGGTTAACGCCTTTTCATGTTTACTTACTCTAAATGCTTGCTTTAGCCCGCCATTGTCGGCTATGTTTTCCCCTTGCGTCATACGCCCATTCATATATTGACCAACTTCATCAACTTTGTACTTGGAATACTGATCTATAATGCATTGAGTGCGTCCGCGAAATGCTTCAATCGTTGCGTTATTCCACCATTGCATCATATTGCCATCCTTGTCGAATTGTCGACCTATCAACAAAAGCATATCATATGTTCGCCATCATGTTAAGGTCATTTGATTGAAAAATGCGTTAATTAATTAATACATGCCTTTATCATCGAATCCATGAGTTATTTCGTGCCCTATGACAACACCAATGCCGCCGTAATTGAGAGATTTTGGATAATGCTGACTATAAAAAAGTGGTTGCAATATTCCCGCCGGAAATACTATAATTTAATAGTTCTCTTACATAATGCGAGTTCAAAAAGGGTTATTTAAAGTGCAACAAAACTTTAAAACGAACCGATATCATTTTTGTTGGGATTATAAAATGCATTTACTACAGCTGGTTCTGTTGTCCATTTTGCTTTGTCAACCGGTTGCCTTAGAAGTTCCATATTTTTCTCAGTTTCCCAAGTAAGTATATTTAGAATGTTTTCCATATAATTGTCTGGGATGATAGTTAGCTTAAAAGATTGCATTCATAATTATTTTCAAATTGAATTTTAATTGATAGGCGTGCCGCCTTACATTGAGATATTCCTTCTCCAATTCGTTAACATTGGTTAGGATCTCTGGATAGCCTATGCGTTCGTTCATTGTATCAGCTTTCTCTTTAGCCACAGCCCGCGTCTCGTCATCCATCCAATGATTTTCCGCTAATAATTCATTGAAAGCTTCACGAATGGTGCGAATCATTTCAAGAGCGATTTCTTTACTTTTCTGATCGAAATTGTTTTTTATGAACAGTGCCCCGACTGCCATGCCCAACTTTTTATTAGTCCACTCTACGCATTGACCCCATCGGTCGCGTTCGCTTTGTATACCCAATAATATTCGACGAAATTCAAATCGTTCTTGTTGATATTCATCGACCATATGTGCCATAACGGACATTACTAAACGCCAAAGAGCGTAATTATGTAGAATTCTTCTATCAGTTTGATTCAATAATTGACACATTTTCGTTAGATATGACATGGCGTAGACGACAAGCTCTTCATCTGGTTGCAAATTTATATTAGGGCCTAAAGACTCTTGGAGAAATCGCGTCCAATTAAGTTCTGGAAATTGAGCTTGAATTGCGATTAAAGATATTTTGTTGTATATCGCACTCGTATCATGTCGATCGGCCTCGGGCAATGTTGCATTTGCTAACTGTATTTCAAATTGTAATACCTGATCAAGTTCTTGTTCGACAATCTCAGGTTTAGCACCTAGCAACACGGCCGTTTTGGTCATGTATTTATGATACGCTTTGAGAGCATTTTCACTACTCGACTTAAGATAATAATCTCTTGAGGGCAAAGCTAAAGACAATTGATCGATCTGGAGTATATGAGCCGATGAATTCTTGTCATCAGCTCCTACATATAATTCCACTAATACCGATTCGCTATATTTACTTCGCAATTCACCTAAAAGCTCTTCAATAGTCATTTTCGGTAATTGCCAATCGGTTTCGATAACCGGCCATCCGCCCAATGATTTTAGAATTTCCTTTAATCGCTTCTCTCCGAATTTTCGTATTTGAGCTAGAAATACACGGCATAGCGTAAATTTACGCAGTCGTTAACCTGAAACCTTTTTCACGCTTACGTATGTCCATACAGCTTTTATAAAATGTTTTTGCTTTAATAGTCGCTTGATTATCGCCACCGCTAGTCGGTTCCTCGAGTATATCTTTAAGTATAATCTGCAAATTATCGGCTAACACCTGGATTACGTGTACAATGTGTGATATGACTTTTAACGACATCGCAATCAGTTAATACACAAGTATCCATCTTACATACCTCAAAAGTGCTTATCGAACTCTTATCTTCAGGTATGACATGCTTCTTATTCCAGGTACCGCATGCGTATTGAAAAAAGTCTTCGCAAGGATTTACAGTTATATCCATTGCATCCAATAAATGTGACGCTATAGATGAATTGCAATGCAGTGAAATTTGGATAAGTTTTAATCAGGTTCCAGTGTATAATGATACATAAGATTATGAAATATGGTATTGTATGCCTTGGAATTGCACTGAGCACAGAAAATGCACTAAAGTCACAGTCTCGTGTCTTCACGGCCACGATATTGACAATGCTAGTGCAAACTGCATATACTTTGTTTACTTCAATTGCGGTATAAATTATAATTCGGATCAGTTAAAATTTTAAGTCAGACTATTACCGCAGTAACTAGCATTTGTAACTAGCATTTCAGGTGTTGCTTCAGAAACATGATGCAATCCAATTAGATTTGGAACTTACCTGAACGTACGCATTCCTCCGTAAGGCAGATATTGTTATGTTTAAATTTAGATTCTATAGGGAGAAATGAAATGGAAATTGGAAACACAATTGAACAATATATAAATACTTGATTGAAGTTTTTCTTAGCACCTTATAAAACTTTTGAAATGGAATTATAAACGTTTCCGCCGAGCACTTGATACCCGCAAAACCCCGTACCATTTATTATATTTTTCGTGCTCCACGCGATCAACGGAATGGCATTATTGTCTATCTACATGATATTATAAATGTCACCAACATCATGAATAATTAAAAGTCCGTCTTGCGAATATATCCGAGCGATAAAAGATCTAATCTAAGAGTGTTGTTGCAATTTTTATGAAACACGACTTTCTCCGTATACACGTTATAGATATTCAAAGTGAAAATCTCAACTTTGGCACGAGCTCGTAAACACACCGTTGGCTATTTGGATGATTTTTAAATAAAATTATTCTCATCGCTAAGCTACCGCATTTGGAGGTCCGAAGACGCAACAAAAATCTATGTAGGCCTCCAACAAGTGTTAGCTTGATACGATTTTTGCACTTTTTTGCAATAACGCTGGTCGAACTGTGTGATGGACTGCGATCCTGTCGAAACATTTCATGGACATGAGTATACAGAGAGAAAAAATATATGAAAAGCCGTTTGCAGTGTTGAGTCGGGACACCCTACAAATTGCACTTAAATTTTTAATGAAATAAATTGCAAAAGGACTTTACCAATCTGCGCACATATATTTGTCTATTTGCTTTTCTAAAACTAAATTCTTCGACTTACGGCTCATTTGTAATTACCAAGAATGTAATAATTTTTAACGTTACCTACAATAAGAAAAGTACACAAGGTCTACACAAGTCAGGGACCTAGATGTTGCGCTTCGAAAAAAACCCAGAAGCTTTGATTTTTCGCCCGTCCATTAGGAGACCTCGAACGACAGCCAAGACGTTCTCCGGCATCGTTAATCAAAAATACCTGCTTTCGATATTGCATTGCCGTCAAAAGCGTCCTTCAACATTTCGAAAGCAGGAATTTCATCCTTGAATCGAAACTTCTTCATGCATTTTAAAATTCGAAACATACATTTTCTTCGATAAAAGCGAGCAAATGCTAATTATTTATTAGGTATCAACACATCTCTCAATTAGGTTCTTATCAACGTATAAAAAAAAAAAATAATTCTCTTCGACAAGGCCGCCGCGAAAGATACTAATATATCTTAAGCACAAGAGTAACTATAGTTTTTAGTTTGTAAAATATCCGTCAAGTGTTATCAAATCGTATCAAAATATTGTTCAAGTAAAACCCCTTAATCCAAAATGGATATAGAAGATATACGATTCGATTCATACATCCAGAGAAAGGATCTTTCTCCCATCTTGCAAAAAAAAAAAAAAAAAAAAAAACGGCACACAAGCTTCACTGATGTGACAATCGAACAATTAAAAGCCGAGTTTTGGCTGCACAAGCCGAACAAAATGAAAATTGATGAAAAGTGTGTGTCTGTCTTTTCAAACTTATATCAAAAGGCTCCAATTGATAAAATAAATTAATAATTGATGATCAGTATTGCGATTAAACGGCAAATCAAGATTGATTCTAAATGAAGGGAAGATTTCAGATTGATTTTTAACCATCATCTTGTCCCATTTCCTTATTTCTTTCTCTATTTTGCTCATGCACCAATACATTAAAATCAAGATAGCATGCTAAGATCGTGTAGTCGCGTGCATTAAGTTGAAAATACCTGTTTTCAGTCAGCCTGACATACGCCCCACGTGCTTAGGCTGCTTCTGTATGTATTTTATACATGTGTTAATGTGTGTAAACGTAAAAAGTACTTTTTCATATTTTTCAAAGAAATTGACATAAAGGAAATAGAAAAAGTTGAATACTTTCTACGAGCTCCTCTCTACCCATGCACATATAGTTATGGGTGCTTGCCAATGAATGTATGCCTGTTGCGCGCTCGTAACAACTCATCAATAAAGGAAATTGCAGATGGCATCGCACGTTCTTTTGCGAACCAAGCTGCCAGTAACTGGAATTATATGCGAGTTCGCCATTTCCTGATTGCTTGTCTTTATGTCCCTCCTTGTCAATATTGCAATTTAACAAGCCGACAAATTCAATTCTAATTTACGAGAGATATTAAATTATATATATATATATATATATGTAAAAATGTATGTCTATTAACAGGTGTTTATGTATCCATACCATAAGCAGAGTGAGCGCATTCAATAAAATTATAAACTGTAGTGTTACTCTGCGGAAGTCGCGACTCCCTCCAAGGCGGCGACGTATTGTATACTACTGTTTGGCTATGTGTATTTTCTATTTTATCTATTATATAACGGAAAATGCAGGTACAATGTATCTCACAAAGTGTCTGTATTCGATTAAGGCCTTATTCGCTCTATATTACTTCATATAACAAAATTAAACAATAATTAACAATAATAATAAAAGAGCTATAGTCGGGCCAAGGGCGACCTTTAAAAACTTCATCTAGCTTTACATTATACAATTCTTTACTTGCGTTTATCAAAAGATACCAAATATTGTACTTATTGCCATATAAACGCGTATTTCTTATCAGAGCGAGGGAGAGGAGAATTTTTATAAAGGACCTAATTCACGAACTAGAGCCATCTAATCCAAACACAATAAATAAATTGCTACATCAAATTATCATTTTGGATTAACTTTTACTCTATTACAATAAATACTAAGAACCTACATCTTCTTACTAAACGAAGGCTTGTAATGGGTAAGAAATATTCCATCCTATCTAAATTTTCATCATTCAATATTAGTATAGTAAAATGGTATCCTATATTAACTTTTGAACAGAATTTTTCTCAGGATATATTTTCGGGGAATGGTCGAAACGAGAAATGTTTCGAACCAACAGAGGGATCGTCTTTCTTGAATGATATAAAGTTGTTTTAATTACAAAAGAAACGGCTTTTTCTGCAAACCTAACAATGTAACGCCCCAAACTTTAATTACAATTCATTATGATAAATCAAAAATCGATTTCGTAACACTACTCTTCTTAGTTCATAGAGTCTCCGATAATTGCGAACGGTATTGATCGTGAACTCGTGATTGCGATCAGTTAATATGAAAAGCATTTGTAAATAGATTGGAAAAACAAACTAAATATATATCATCGATTACCTGTGGTATAACATATAGTGTCGGTGTTGGTGTAATGGACGGTCAACGCTCCTAACAGGGCACCAAAGATTATAGAGGCTACAGCCAGGATAATATATTTTATTTTTAAAAATCTCTTCTTCAACAGCCATTTGCCACTGTTCTCGTGAACGGAGTTCGAGTGTATACGCACTGATGAAGTGTTCCCGATATGGTTCTCATCGTTTACATACACTACCGTTGAATATTTGCAATTTGTTGTACCATTATCGTTCGTTAATTTCGGAGCCGATGTTTCGCTTCCTTCCATTAAGGCTGGCGTCTGGCGTTTTGTTGTAAGTTTTACCTCTCCTTGTCCCTTTGGAATGTAACCATTATCGATGAGTTTATTATTTTCCGTTTCCAACATTTCAGCCGCTATTACGAGTTATATATAAACTTCCATGAATGATATTCTATTTAAATGTAAATAAAATCAATGAATAATTGTTTAAGCATTTTATTTGATTTCTGTTAAGCTACCGTTACATTCCTAAATTGCATAATATTTATTATTATGTTAAACTATCCCGTTTATTAAATATAAATTTTACTTATATGCAATTTTATTCGCGTCACAACAGCACTTGCTCTTACATCCTCTCGACGACGGACGTATGTGTAACAAAATATTTTCAAGACTATGCTCGCGTTAACTATGCCTGTGCCTGTGCATGCGTGTATGTGTGTATGTGTGTGTGTGAATAGGTATCGAAAGGTATCAAATTCAATTGTTGTATACATGTATTTGCGATCACGTTTTAATTAAGAAACCGTGAAGCTTACCAGCAACGAAAGTTCGCAACACACAGAAAATAAGTAAGAAAACTATATATATTTCATGACCATGAACCTAACCAGTTTATAAAACTTCTATACCCCGCAACACTAGGGTTGTATGAATCTTATAACACTCAAAAGTCCTTAAGATAGAACCCATCTTTCACTAAGCAAATCGATTCAGAATCGTGTTCTGGATCGATTTAAGCATATCGGTTCGCCTATCCATCTGTCTATATGTGCACGTGTTCTTGTGTTCAAGTTATCTGCGAATTTTGAACACTGACATATTTTGGTTTTGAAGTGCATTGGATCGCTTCGGAGGTAAAGCGCTTACTTTAAAAAGATTTTCGTATACAGAAAAGGTCTGTTGCTTATAACATTTCTACGATAGATGAAAATCGTTAAAATGTTGGTTAATTAAAAGAATGTTAGCAGTTCGGATGGGATCAGGAACAGTACATTAGGAAAACGTATATGGAATGGATTTGAGTGTTCATAGGGGGCGTGTTTAAAACAAATGTGATTTTCCAAATTTCGTAGGCTACGTAAATTCGATTTTCGATTTTTTTTTTTTTTTTTTTTTTGTTATGTTGGTACACATATCCACAGTATATGTTGGCATTATCAACCACATCACGTTTCACATAGCGCCCTATTTTAAAATGTCGTTATTAAAAACTACGGCCCGTGTCCAGCACCGTTAACTTTTATATCAAATTACTGTTATCGATCAATTTTCATCACAACATAATAAAACTTAGACTTGTCTGCCCTAAAGAACGAAAATTTTCGTGAAAATCGTTATATAGGTTAGGATCGAAAAAATAGGCCGAAATGGTCCAAACTCGGTGCAGTTAACTTTTTTTTTTATCTTAAATTACTATTGTGATCTGATTTTCGTCATAAAGCATTTAAAATCAGACTTTTTTGTCATATGAATTTCAGTTTGAGGGCGTTTGAAAAAATTCTCCGACCCGGTCCAAAGTTTTCATAGCAATTTAAAATGCCGCAATACTATTACATAGCCATTTAAATTTTAAAAATTGTATTTTTTCCCATATAACAAATTTTTAAAATAAGGCGTTTCAGATCGAAGTGGTCGAAAAATCGTTTTCAAAAGCGCTTGTCCTACAGTATGCCAAGTTTCATCAAAATATTACAAAAATTGCGACCTGTAGCTTAAACACAATAATATGGCGACAGACAGACTGACTAGCTCCATCGGTATAATGAAAGATGAGTCTATCTTAAGCCTTGCTGGGAGTTACATACGGTCGCACACGCTTAATATACCCAGTACCATAAGTGGTGGAGAATATAACAAAATGTATAATATTAAATGTTTTCTTTATATTTTCGCTTCGATTTGTACGCGTTTTGTGAGTGCAAAAGTTCGAGACGGTCGTCATAGATTGCCCCTCGAGAATATAAATATTGTACATAAACAACAATGCACGCACGTCTTTCCGCTGCAGAGCGATTGCAAGTTTTAATACACTTTTATCTTCCCATCGTTGATATGAACACAACATAAATAAATTATTTTGAACTAAATTGAAAATTTGTTTATCTTTCATAGCACATTTTATACATTTATTGATTGTTTGGGACAACAAAGTTCGCTGTGTTTGTATCATATAGATATTCTATTTAACCGTACGCGAGAAAGGGAATAAAATTCTCAATGCATTGAAGAGCCACCGGCATAAAACCAAATCGATACATATTTCCTCCTAACACCTTGGATACCTAAGCTCCGTTTTAGTACTTACTACGCATGTAAGACTTTGTATGCAGAAACAGTTTATGTTACGATGACACGCTGGAATTTTATTCGAGTCTTTTAGCTTAACGCAACGCAACGGCAATACGAGGAGATCAAGTTAGGCTGCCTCAGTTCTTAAGCTCACGACCGTCATTTCCATATCTTAGCAAAAGCTAACTTATTTCCATTATTTATGCTAGTGAGCTGTACATATATACGGACGAAGCTATAACCGACGATAGTATTTGCGACCTCCAAAGGCGTTTGTAATTTACTATCTCTCTCTCTCTCTCCCTTTCTTCGTCTAATATGCAGTGCAGAACTGCGCCATTTGTTTTTTTATAGGAAAAACGTTCAAGTTAAAAAAAGAAGTAAGAAAATGATATTCAGTCATGACCACCAAACCTTTTATGCCAACGACCGTTTTTCTAAAAAAGATTTTAAAAAAATTAAAAAAACCACATTTTCATCCTCTATGAGATGGAGCGTACGCGGCTGACTTTTTCTAATTTCAAAATAAAGATTTTTATTGCATAGGCAAGTTGGAGTTGTAGGCGTGCCCGTGGAAAAGTTTAAGTCACTTCCAAATTATTTTGGAAATTTGTAGACGAGACGTTCATTTTCGCTAACGGCGAAATGTTTACCAAAAGCACTACACAGTTGCGCGGAGCGACAAATGGACAGACTTACAGACGGACATGTTCAGGTATATTTCAAATGTTCAAATGCCAAGAATTTATATAACCTATGGGGCTTTTGAAGGCTGCTTCTGCGCCTTGTAAGGGTATTAAAAGAAAAATTCAATAACATTGCGTAGATTTGGTCAATTATTTCTGGCTTTCTACAGGTTGCTGTGGCAGCCATAAAATATGCTTTCGAATTTTTGTAGATTTATCTGCTGAGCAAAAATACAAGTTTTAATTTCTTTCGAAAAGCAGAGCTGTTCGCAGTACACACAGAACTATAGGCGTGGTTAAGCCCATTTTCAATACCGCCAGCAGACGGATATGCTTAAAGCAATTCAGAGTTTGATGCAGACCAAAGAAAATGTACATACATACATGTATTTTAGGGTCACTGAAGCTTCTTTTGGGCGTTGCAAACGTTCCGAAAAAATGAAAATACTTTTATCCTTCGATAATAGGCATAAACAGTTTCTCACATTGAGAGAAATCTTTTGTCCTTTGTCGCTTTCATAAAAAATCGAACACCTGTTTGCAGCTTGCATTCACCAAATATTCGATGCATATTTGCCCGGTTTACAAACGGTTGACTTATTTAACGTATCCTCGATAAGTATTTTGATACCCATTTTCTTAGGCTAACTCTTTAATTGACTAATTGCCAAGCCTATGTTTGGCAGTGTGTTGTATAAATGAAATGAATAAACTAAAATCAAATAAATAGAAATAAAACGATTAAAAAGTAAAATTAATTAAATTTCCTTCCTTCATTTCCTGCACGTGCAAGCAAAATAAATATGACCTATATTATGCATATACAGCCATGCACACATAAATAATCTACCATGAGAAGAAAGAAGAAGATTTTCTAAGGCTACTGTAAAAAAAATTCTTATAAATTACATACAATCATTTTTAAAATGTGTGCCTTTAATTAATTTCAAGGGATCAATCCAATTCCGACACCGTTGCATATTGCCTATGGGTATAGAAATAACAAAAAATACTAGATATAGACAGAATAGCAAAAAAAAAATAAATAAATAAAGTATAAAATAAAATAAAATTTATCTATTTTTTCTTTCAACTCATAATTTTTCATTTACAGGATTTTATATCCTGAATTGTATGTGGTCGCTTGATGTTTTTAAAAAAGCTTTTTGCCCAATTTTGCTTTTTCTGATCCATTCTGTTATATTCTTTAAAATGTTTAAATATTTGGAAACTAGCCAGATTACCGCCAATCTTTCTAATCACCTGACTTTATGCAAGAAAAATGCCCCAGATTATTATACCATCTATACTGGGCTTACTTGTTTTCTGAATCTACTATGTAGTGTGCTTCAAATCGGTCAACTTCTTTCTTAACCTTCTTTGACACTTTATTCTAAAAAATGCATTTCTTTAACGCTATGGCCTCTGGTAGATATTCAATTTTTTGAAGACATTTCCTCTATTCCTCTATCCAAAAAATCGCCTTCTTACGAATTAATTCAAAATTTCTGGAACTGTTGAACATAATTACGTATGAAAAATTTAACTTTCGTTTTTAGCTGTGCATGCCAAGTAGCTAGAATATGAAAGTGGAAGTGAAAGCTGACACTCAGTCACGTGCCTACACCCTAGGTTTCTTGCTTATGATGTTCGTGATTTCTTGAAATTATTTAAAGAGTTATTACTTACTTTTGTTATAAACAATGACTTGAACAATAGAAACCGTGTTCGACTTGCGTGTTTTAATTATATTTTTAGATATTTATTTAAAAGTAAATAGGATTTAATTTAGCTTTTAATTTAGCTGCCATTAAAACCACTGACAAGACTTTAAGGTTATTGTGAGCAAATAGAACTCTACCCACTATAGCCCTTGTCAATCAATTCAGTTACTAATTCATTTAACATATAAAAAGGATCGAAATTGAAAGCTGACTATCTTACTCAATATTCTCTTTAAACTATTTTATTATGATATTTTTATGGCCAGAACTCCAGAACTCTTTTTGCATGCGTAAATCGACTTGGCCAAAAAAAGACAAATAGATATAACTAAAAGTTTACATACTGATGGTAGCCATTATTGTTTTAACAAAAAACAATTAAAAACACTGCAGTGGTACACGGAGTAAGTCCCGTCGATATCAAATTGCATCAAAATATCTCAACATTTACGGCCTCTATGTTGAGCACAAGAACGTTGACGGACAGTCGGACATAAAGGCAGACAAACTTCGACCGATTCAAAAAGTGATTCTGAATCGATTGGTTTATACGGCGGGATCTATCTCACCTTCTTCTGAATGTTGCATACATTCCAACAAACTTAATGTCCCCTGTATAGCATAAGCAATGTAGCGTATAATAGAGTTGTTTCATTAAGAACTCAAGAAGTTTTATAAAACTCTCAATGCAAACTTGTGTTATTTTCTTGTCAACGGCTGTGTATGTTAATGTACAAAATTTGCTTCTGTAAACACTCAATTTTGACTTTAATGAATGGCGGTTATTAGCATTATGTCGCAAATTTCTTATTAATTAATAGACGAATATTTTTGTAGCGCATTCGTATATACCTATACCTACTTGTACTGTAAGGATTTAAGCCTGTAGCATGTGAAAGAAATTCAATTTCCCAGATGTTTAAATATAATTATCGCAATAATATTCGAGCACAAAATTCTTATACGTTTATTGAGTGTATGTCTGATGTGTGCCTTTGTGTGTATGCCTGTGCATGTGTGCATACATTTAGTGTGTTTTTCTTACTATAAACAACTCTTTGAACGACTCATCTGTTTTTATCAATAGAATGGTCAAGCGCCTACTTGTACACGATGTCCACACATAAAATTCACAAAACTCATAATGACACAAATAAATAAATCCTTTTAATTAAATATTAATGCTATCAATCATCAGAAAGCTCACGTTATATATATTTTCATTTTTCTCATTTATTAATTTCTTTGTGCAATTTCTACTTTTACTTTACTTTTTTTGCTATCTTCTTTGTGTCTTCTTCTCTGTTTATTTATTTTGATGAATCTCCGAGCAACCACACTTTTAAACTGTTTACTTGTGCAAGTGCACGTCCTTTAAAAAGACTCGCAATTGCTTCTGCATTTTTGAAACATAACCTCTTCGTACGCAAACTCTTCTACGAAATTAATTTTTTTTTTTTTCGTTTTCTCCTTAAAAGGTTTATGTCATGCTTTATATATACGCATATGTATATTTATATGCATAAATGCAAACGTTTGTATATGTGTATATGCATGTGTTTACTAATCCTCTCTTTGTATACCAAATGAGCAGGACACTAAACCAGGGCTGTCAAGTATTTTTGATGATAAATCGTCAACTTAAGACAAATCGTTAGGATTCTAGAAAAATAATAATTTTTTTTAATTTAAAACACACTATTTATTGAAAAACGACAGTATTTCAAATAAGTTAAGTGGATATAGTTTTTAAATACATAGTTTTTACTAAGCTGATTGTCAATCCAGTTTTACATCAAATTTTTCTATAATTTAAATCATTATTTGGCCGTATTTTCTAGCGCGATTTTTGGCTATAAATAATGCAGTGCGGCAGTATTGATGAAAATCGAATAAAATTTGACGTTTTCTTTGAGAGCTTGTCTCAATATATCAAGTATTTTGTAAAACTGTCATTCATTGTAAATTAGGTCTATTTTCAAAACATGGTATATATGAATATATATTATTCCCAGTTTCAACCTTTTTATGCCCATAAATCAGCGCTGAATTATCTTGATTAAAAAACTTAGAAACATTGGACATTGAAACCATTACACGACTGGCATCTATTCGAGTTTTACCATAATTATGCTTTGACGATTTTTATTTCTATGCTAACTTAGAACATTTTATAAATTTGGCAGTCCTTACACAACATGAATTGGAGAGGATTTTTTTTATGTTTTTTTTTTTTTGGTTCTTTGCATTGCTTTACTATGGTATAGGAGTATATATATATACATAATATACATAGCTCTATGTTGATGTATGAGATCTTCTACCTGTTGTATAAATAAAGCCAGCGACAACACACTCTCTGCACATGTACGTAAGTAAATAAATGCTCACGCATGTAAATATTTCTTATTTGCATGTGTGTGCAATTTAGATAATAGATGCTTTCTCGTAATCAATTTGCGCGCGGGATGGATTTGCAACAAGTTGTTCATCTATGTTATATTGTCAGAGAATTCAACACAATACTACATTTGTTTCTATTCAGAAAAAAACAAATAAATAAAAATATAATCCAAATTTTATTGTTCTAATTTAATCTAAAAAGAAGAGTTCTCTCTTTTTTTCTGATAAGAAAAATTTTATTATCATTTAACCCATAAATCGACAGAGAAACTGTATAAAAGAGAGAGAAAGACACTCGAGAAATAACATTTATTTTTTTAAATAAAAACATTTTATAGTCAATTTGGGGCGAATTTTTTGATACTTCGTATCAAATTTGTTGTGAATGATATAAGTTGTCTCTACGTAGTTTAATTGAGATATATTGTACTTTAAGTATTATTCTGAAGTTAAGAAATAGTTTTTCATGTTTCATAAAAACTGAAGGATAGGTTTTCGATAGATTACTAAAATTGGTCTGTGTGTTCTGTTTTCATAAATAAATAATAGAAATGCTCTTATTGATTTAAACCGTTGATAGAGTGTATAGAAGATTAAGATCATCCTAGCTGTTAGTGAATCGAAAACTCGTTTATTGTTATTGAGTTAGGGGTTTTATTTTTTGTTATTGTTATTATTCGAAATTAGATAGCAGGTACAGCAAATAAAAATCCCAGCGTGGGCTACAACTCACTATTGAATACCCTTCGTTATTCTATAGGTATTCATAATATATAAGACGTTAAAAAGGGGAAGTGGTTGAAAAAGTGGTGGACCATTATCCATAGCTTTGGTTTTACGAGCATCAAAACATCTCAAAATTTGCGGCCCGTAGGCTGAACACAGGAATATAGATGGAATGGCGGACAGAGGGACAGACAAGCTTAAATCAAATAAAGAAGTGATTCTGAGTTGATAGGTCGCATACATCCGCACTCTTGTACCACAAATGCGGTGTAGAGTATAAAAATGAAATAACAGCGCCCTGAATACATTAGAAGATTAGAAGATAAGAATAAGTTGATAATGTAAATGTTTAAACTTTCATAGAAGGGAGAGACCAAAATAATACACGTACGTAATCCAAATCTATCGCAGTAAACTTATATATCAAATCAATTTTCGTATCAATTTTCATTACAAAACCCTGAAGGTGCTCTTTGCACGTGTTTAAGATCTTCTCGCAAACTTAATCAATTTTTACTGTGTTTTGTAAGTGTGAGGCATGATAAAAAAGTTGTTAAGAATGTAACGCAAAGAAACGCGGTCAAAAATCGATGAAAAGTTGAGACAATTATCAGCACTTGTAGGTAAATAACAATTATAATAGATCCGTATATGTCGATATGCCTCTCGTTGATTTTATAATTTTATCTTATGGGATAATTGTGTTTGCAAACTACAGATATTCTTACGCTCATTTTATGCATAACCTGCAAATATTAGAAAACAATTATGATTCCTTTAGCAAACAAAGAGAAATACTCATTTAACAATTACACTAAATTTAATTACAAAATTTTTCATTGTTTATGTTTATCATTTTCAGATTATTTTTTCAAATGAAAAAATAAAAACATAACATACCTCTTGGCTGTATATAATCGTTGCCACAATTTAAAATTTACCAGTGCTACTATCGCTAGCTGTTTATTTACCGTATATATGGAAGTCGGACGGTTTATTTACCGTAATGATATTCTCAGCAAAATCAAAGGGTCATTGCATAAGACGTGGACAGGAAAGGAAATTATACTCTAAGAAATAGAATTTTTTTGCTACTTTCCTCACATTGCCTTAACATTTATTTATTTTACAAGCTTTTTGGATAGATTCTAAATGAAATGTCAAGAATAATGTCACGCTACCGCAAAAATCAAAGAAACATAAGGTTTGATTTTGTAAAGCAGGATACGTTTTTAGATTTAGTCGTTATTTTGAGAAAATAAAGTACACTGACCAAGAAAATGACAAATATTTTTTTAAAAATCTCCGTAAAGGAATATTTAATTTAGATATTTCCATAAAATAATATAAATATTCTTTAGTTATAAAGCCCTCAGAGCAGAGCTCTGGATTTCACTTTTGTTCCTTACTGGGGAATTTTTGTAAATCTTTTCCATTTTGTGCCGACCGCGTGCAAAAATTTTGAATGATTATGGCGTTAATGTTTATTTAATTTTCGTTGTTTATGTGGTGCTTTATTGTTCTTATCTGTTTCCTATTTTAGTTGAACAAGGAATAACAACGTATGTCGTTGAAACCGAAAAAAGTAAATTTTAATGAGATTTGGTCTGATTTGCGAAATACTGCAGAGGCTGTTATTAAATTGGATAAAGTAGGGGAAAATGTGTGGAACTCAAATCAATCTATCCCATCCAGTATATGCGGTTTATATTCCTTTTACTTCCAATTTTTCTTCCAGTACTAGTGCGTAGGGTCAATTGTTCCAAACAATATTTACTCAACCATTATGCATCGTATAATCTATTTGCCTATGAAAAGGAAAAGAAAGAAAGGACCAGATTTAGGTAAAAAGATAGTACCAACAAGAGCTTTAATTAATATTAGTCCCTACTAAGCTTTTCATGGTTTTCTTACGAATTATTTTCAATAGCAATAGCTCTGAACGAAATGAAAACATGACAAATATAAATTAAAGTGTATGTATTTGGTGAAGATTCAGGGGATGTTCCTCTCCGCATGAGAAGGCGAGTAGCTAAGATTCGCAACTACAAAGTTGGTGTTCGCAGGTTCAAGCGGGCGGAGTTTACTTTGATCGTAGTTGTTAGTGAGTAGTCAATTAGTGAAGGCATCACACTTACCGATTAGGCACTGGGTTTCACTAGGTTTCGGCTACCACCTCCCTATTTCTTTCTCTTTTCCCATATCTTTCTGCAATTCACATAAGGGGAAGTGTTTGTCTGTCGCCAGGCTGTAGCAATGTTTCACGATCCCTGTCGCCGACTAGCCTTAGTCTCACAAGTGTAGGGAAATTGCTACTATTACTGCTTGAGGCCGTAATGCATTATTTTTAATTTTGTCTAAACTATTGAGCCACAAAAAAATGTGATTGATCGTATAATAAGTCAATCAGGGTTCGTTGATAGCTTCCTACGAGTTGTTTACTACTTATGTTAAACGGACATTTTATGGCAGTATTAAGCAAAAAGGAAAAAGAGGAATTAATGAAAGCAGCTCAACTGACTATATCATATCTCCATGTTCACATTATATCGCAAACTGACTGAAAGTTCCAGGCACTGCCGCTTTGTTATCATACTATCTACTTAGTTACCTTCACTTTGTAAACAACTTAGCGCGTAGACAACCGTCGCTTGTGATTGTTGAAAGGAGGATTTTCGTGAATTTTTATGTATAAGATTGTAATATCATCGATAAGAAAAGTTCATCTTGATAGACCTCTTTATACTTTTAACAAATATCGACACCAAAAATAGCTTTACTCAGAGCGACAGCCACTCCCACGGCTCTCCAATTATTAGTGGCTACAGAAGGGAGCGCCGCTTTCAAGCATGCCCTCTGTATAAAATTTCTCCTGTCGTAGTTAATCATATTCCATCTTTGGATAACTCCAACTTAATGAGTGTATTGACAAGTTAGTCATAGGCCGATCATAATCGTGCGCAGACTGATACCAAACTTTTTCACTAATCATTGAAGTAAGGATTATATTAGTAATTGTTGTTATCTGTAATCTTTCTTTCTTTCTTTCTTTCCATGCATACCTTATGAGATGTCCGTTGCCCAAACGCGTTCAATCCATACTTGATGGATGGCTGCGCGTAAAGTGTGGCAACGAGTTAAGATTGTTGATAACAGTATACAAATGCAATGCTTGAATTCATCTTGCCCATGAATAGCCGTGTTACCCAGTACCCGAAGCGAACAAAGCGCGAACAATGCAACAACAATTTGCAGTATATATTTTAAAATTCGCCGTCGGTGTTGTCTCCACAAGATAGCTTACAAGTTTTGGCTGAATAAGAGTACTAATTAGATAATTGAAGTAATAAGCGGAATAAATAACAAAAGTAATTAAGAATAGTTTAGTTTCCTAATTGTAAAAACCGGGTCGTTGAATAAAAAAGTAAAAAAAACACTTCCAATTTTGATAACTAAGCGCTGCACAACAGCAGACGTTTATTGAGGGAAAGTGATAGAAAATTGTTTATTCTTAGTGGTTACTTAATTTTAAATGCGTGTAAAAAAGAAAGCATGAGTTTACACATTTTCCATTGTTGCCAGATGCGAGACCAGCAGAATAGACGTAAAGGTTTTTTGGTTTGGTTTTTTAATTTAAATGGAATAATTACTTGCGAAATCGTCAAATTTTCGTGCCTTTCGCGGGGAGAATGTTATGAGGGTTTGCATAAGGAAGTTTCGCTCTATTTCTAGCCTGCGAATAAAAATTGAACAAATGAAAAGTAATGTAAACGAACCCAATGGAGCTGCGCATCCCCAAAGTTATAGAAATTTTTACGAGCCTGAATGGGAATTGGGAAATTATTTGGGTTTGTATGCGCCTAAGCAAAGAAAAAGTTAGAAAAAGGAAGACAAACGGTTTATTTCAAATTTAAAAGTTATTTAATTAATTCTACATGTGATTATATCGCATTATGTTAACAACTTTTATGAAATTTTTCCTAATCGTGTATATATGTGTATACCTTTGAATGTTGTTACACGCAATCCTTCAGCCTTCATTGAAAGTGAACATTTAGCCGAAAAATTCTTGAAAAATTAACATATGGGATAGCGTAGAAATTTGATCCAAAGGCGTTAACAATGACGCAAGCAAATACTCAAGTTCAAGAGTAATAAATTATAACGCTTTTGTGCACTTTTGCGCATTAAGTGTGGATATACTGTGGCGAAAAAGACAATTACGACGAATTGAACACTCGTTTAAATACAAACGGTTAGTCTGGTGAAAACTTTCCTTCATTTTATGGCCGTTACTAAGCCTGTACTATGCAACACGCAAGAGATTCAAACACTACTTATAATATATGCGATCTTAACTAGCTCAAGATTATCAATGAATTTAGGCAGAATCTATCTATCTTAGTATTTGTTAAGATCATACCAAATGGAATTGTTCAGATATTCCTTTCAAGTCCCGGGCGCATATAGATTACATCTGGCAATCCCTTATGTAAGGTAATTGCTTTCAATGTTCTCGGAAAAGAGAGAAATGGAGCAGAGAACTGATATTTTGGACATAGAAAGAGCGGAGCTATTCTGAGATGGGCGGTTCTCTGGACTTTTCAAAACTAAATTCCAACAGATTTCCAACAGATATATGTGTACGTGTACATTTATTTAAAAAGTATTTTTATACATCTGCGATACGTATAAACTTTATAAACATTTTGACAAAACACAAGTCCGTCTCCGATGATCGTCAAATAAATCTTATGTATATATATACATCTGAGTGAAATCTATTAAAAAGTACATTTCTATATCCGGATGCGGTTGTTTTTAATATTGTATGATCTTGAGTTTTGTGCTATCTATGGCTGCTTAGCTTAAAAATTTTCTTATATATACAAATGTGTTGAACTTGTAAATATACGTCTTTTTCTAGGTATTTAGATATTTAAATTAGTGTCACTTCTTTCAATTATTGAAACCTGCCGTCAATTTGTGCAGAATCGGTTACTTACAAAATTAATGTGCATGCGTAGATGATCAGTGAGGTTATATTAAATCTATAATATAATGTTTGTACATGCTTACTAACGATAAGCGGCAATTGTACATTGTTAATTACAGTTAATATAGAGAAGGTATGCCTGCTTCAAAGCAATTGTCAAAAATGTCATTTCCGTTTTGTTCACCATACACTACATTTTTTGATTGGGTTCATCGGTGAACCTGGCTTGCACTGATATGCTTCAGCAAAGTCTTTCGAGTTAGATAAGGTGCCGCGAACGCGTATATCACCCGGGGGATGATTAGCAACGGCCATTCCAAGCATAAGAGATTCGGGCCGTTCGGATTCGCACCACATTTGAGCAAAATTTACAAAAAATATTTGCTCGTGTTTAAGATTTAAACCCGGCAATAGCGGTTCAGGTCCATTTTGTTTCACCCATTTCTTGTAGGCCTTTATGAAAAGGGAAACAAAATGTTAATATGCCGCTAATATATTTAAACCTACTTTTGCTTACTCTAAATGCTTGTTTTAAGCCTCCGTTATCGGCTATATTTTCTCCTTGAGTTATTCGTCCATTTAAATGCATATCAACTTCAGCGACTTTGTAGTTAGAATACTGATCTATGATGCATTGAGTACGTGCACGGAATGCTTTAATAGTTGCATTATTCCACCATTGCATCATGTTGCCCTCCTTATCAAATTGTCGACCTATTAAAAACATAATTTTCTTTCTTTTCGGCGTTTTCTTTTTAATATTAAAAGCATTTATTAAGACATACCTCTATCATCAAACCCATGAGTTATTTCATGCCCTATGACAACTCCTATTCCGCCATAATTCATTGACTTGGGAAAATATTGACTGAAAAACAATGGCTGCAGTATGGCCGCCGCAAACACTGTAACGCATAATAAGTTTTATTATTATAACACATATTATCATATGCGATATTATATATGCGAAATCTCTCATTTAAAACGTACTAACAAAAAAGAAACAAGAAAAAAACCCTATAGTAGGTCACGGATCACCATTAAGCCGTTTGTTTATATAACGACTCTTTAAAATAAGTCGTTATGTGAGAAGTGGTCGAAAAAGTGCTTCGATCCGAGCCATTGTCATTAGCGTTCCTCTTTGGACCAAAACACCTCGGAGTACCAAGTTACATCAAAATATCTTGAAAATTGCGACCACAAAAATGCAAGAGGGACAGCCGGATAAAAAAACCGAAGTTGATCCTAAATCGACCGGTATAATAAAAGGTACATCTGTCCCAAGTCCTTCCGGGCGTTGCATATATTTACACAAACTTAATTTAATCATGTACCACAAGTAGTATAGGGTATAAAAGCTCTTACGCGACAAGCGGAAAAGAATCTGCATTTAGATCTCTTTAATTACTCGGTGGTTCCAATTGGAACTATCTCTTTATGAAAACTCTATTAACTATAGAAACTAGACTACTATAGAAACTGATATCGGCTCTTATATCGTATAAAAGCAAGCATGTCGAGTCTCGAATTATCTCTCAATAGCAGATAAACGGAACGGATGGAATAATAATATTGGCATAGCTTATCTTCAAGTAGATGTTAGTAAGTGCAATAAAAATGTAAACACGTACCGATATCATTTTTATGAAAATCATAGTAGGCGTTAATTGCCGTGGGATTGAATGGAACTATTTTTTTTTCTACCGCTTGGCTTAGAAGCAGTAGATTCTTCTCGACTTCCCAGCGAAGAATATTCCAAACGTTTTCCATAAAATCATCGGCGACAATAGTCAACTTAATAGAAAATAATTAATATGTAATAGTGAATTTAAAGTTAATAAGCAATCGTCTTACATATTTATACACGTTTTCTAAGGCGGTAACATTTGTCAGAACTTCGGGATATCCTACGAGCTGATTCATAGCGTTAGCTTTCTCTTTCGCCACAGCTCGTGTCGGATTATCCATCCAATCGTTCTCATCTAGCAATTCAATGAAAGCCTCCCGTATCCTGCGAATCATGTCGAAGGCTATTTCTTTGCTCTTTGGGTCAAAATTGTCTTTTATAAATAGAGCTCCAACTGCTAAGCCTAAATTTCTATTTGTCCATATTATGCACTGGCCCCAGCGTGATACTTCGGCACGCATGCCTACCAGCGCTCTATGAAATTCAAATAAATTCTTCTTATATTCATCAAGCAAGAATACGACAACCGTACGCACTAAGCGCCAAAGAACACAGTTATGTAAGACTCTTCTATCCGTTCGGCTTATTAGTTTTGTCAGCTCACTCACATATCTCGTGCCATAGACGACAAACTCAGTTTTCAGACGCAATCGGGTATTAGGACCCAAAAACGTTTGCAAATATATCGCCCAATTGAGTTCCGGAAATTTTTCTTGAAGATCAATTACATTTAATTTATTGTATATACTACCCACATCACGTCGATCTGCCTTCGGTAATGTGGCATTCGCTAATTGAATTTCAAATTGTAGCACTTCCTCAAAATCCTGTGCAGCAGTGCTACGGTTAGCTCCCAGCAATACAGCAGTTTCAGTCATGTACTTATGATAGGCTCGCCGCGACCTTTCTGCATCCGAATTTAAATAAGCATCTCTACTGTATAAAGGCAACGGTGGTTGATCCAGTTTTAAGATATGAATCGACGAATTCTTGTCGTCAACCCCGACGTGGAGTGAGAGTAAAACTGGCACATTGTATTCTCTATGTAATATTCCCAAGATTTCTTCAATTGCGCGCGACGATAAGCGCCAATTATCTTCTATGACCGGCCAGCCACCCAATGATTTTAAAATTTTCTTTAATCGATCTTCGGCGATCTTTCGTATTTGTGCTGAATGTATGAAACACGATAGTCGTTCATTAATATAAAATTTCAAAGAGTGTTCACTTAGGTTACCTGTGTTAACGCAACTTCTGTAAAATTCTTTTGCTTTAATAATCGCGTAATTATCTTCGCTCGCAATCGGTTCTTCAAGTGCTGCCCTCAGTGTGTCGAGTACCTTCGCGCCCAAAAGCTATATATTTAAAAAAAAATATAATCCAAATAAATTTGAATTTATTATGCGACAGAAGTGCAAGCCAAGCATTATAACAATGTATGTATGTATGTATGTATGTATGTATATCTTTCTCATAATTTTTTAAATAATTAAAAATAAATGATTAACTTTGAATGTTTAAATCATCCCAGGGAACTAGCACGTAAATAATTGCGATTACTTATATACGAAACTTTATGTTGCTTTGACGCTTAACGCTTAACGCGCCACGCGTCACACGTCTATGCATACCTTAAAGGTACTTGTTGAAGTATCAGCTTCAGGTATACGGTTCTGTCTCTTCCAATTACCACAAGCGTATTGATAAAAATCTTCGCAGGGATTCACGGACATATTCATGCCTTCCATTAAATGGAATGCTATAATAAATATTCATTACAAAAAAATTATTAAAAACAATTATCATATAAAAAAAGCTTAAATCCTTCGCATTCCTACGTCGATTAAAGTGTCAATTTTCTTACTCTTCCACCCACTTCTATGACTACATAGAGTCATTATTATATTATTTTAAATAATTGATTAAAGACTTAATGATATATAATATAAAAAAAAAAGAAAAGTCGATAGGGACAATGAGACTAAGTTTGGAAGGCGTCATCCTTCACGAATGAGAGCATCTTGCATTTAATTAAAAGCTAATGCGAACATTTTGCCATACGGTAAAGACTTATTTATAGCACCCGACAATAAGTCGAATTTTAGAAACATATCAACGGTTTTTCACTTAAGAGGAGGCACTAAGGGCATTTCCGTGCATATCCCCATCAAAGACTAATAAGTAAGGATTAAGTATATTATCTAAGGAAGGCAGATGTGTTCTTTGCCTTTCCTTTTGATGAAATCCCGCAATAAAAATTAAAATGCTTCTTAAGAAGATGCAAAATTGTTGTCGTTTGATTCCCCCATCAAATGCGAATTCTTATCATCTTTTCGTGTATTCAGTAAATCTAATCAAATAAAGCCCTGAACGGTGCAAAACTAAAGGTTTTAAAAATTTTTTTTTTACCAATACGGATCTACTTTGCAGTGTGTGGATACCGATAGTCCAAGTGTTCGTACATTTCCATTTGAAACAGTTAAATAAAATACAGATTAATAATCCGTGCAATAGATAGCTTACCGGTTTGCACGCATCTCTCCGTAAGGCAAATTTTATAATTTTTATATTTAAAGTCTGCAAAGAAATGAAAGTTTGAAATGATAGAAATGAAATTTTAGGAAAAGCTGATCGATCAATATTGTCGACGGTTCTGATTTACATTCAAATATATAGCGAAAAAGAAATTCTGCGAACATGCCTATGTAAAAGAGGAAGGGAGAAGCCCTTCGTTTCGTTTGCTTCGCAACCGACAATATACGATTGATTAGCTTTGACCGCCGAGCTTCGATGTATAGCTGTGCACATCGAGTAAACTCAAACACAATTTGCATGCGTTACTCGAAAATAACTTTGCGATCGAAAGATTTTTCATTCGATAGTATGAAAAATGTATTGTAAACCCATTCACAACTCGTTACTCGGGGACGCGCTAATCAACGGCTATCGAGTTTACTCTTCATATCGTCAGATATAAACCGGCCTCAATTTTTAACCAAAAAGTTTAAGTCAAAACTTTTAGTTTACGATTGAAAACGCAAGTCTTAGTGTAAACTTGGAAGACAAGGAAAAAAACTACTGTTAAAATCCGTTCAAATTCATGAGAAACTAGTTAATGTGTTATTGAACTGATTGATGAAGAAAAGATACCCTAACGAAAGCTCTTGCAAATATTAATATGAAAAACATTTAGCTCTCTTTACCTGTGATCACGCAATCGTCGTCGTTTTGAATATTATGCATGATTAATACAGTTAAAGCAGCACCGAGGCTTATGCAGGTTACAACGACCAGCATATATTTAAATTTTAAAATCGATAGTTCCAGCAGCCACTTTCGTTGATTAATTCGCGGAGAACGGGTGCGTATCCGCACTGAAGCAGCATCATCCGGGTGATGTGTGTAAGTAGCATCTTCTTCAACATTGCACGGTACTATTTCAGGTGACATTTTCAAGGGAAACGAAAGCAAGCTTTCCGCAAGCGTCCTTCTTTTTTCCTGCAAAATGCCAGCAATAATTACAAGTCAATTAATACGGGTGTGAGAATGTAGATATGTATTATAAATTGCCTAATGATTTTCTATACAAGTTCCGCTAAATAAATTGTAAGCATAGACCTTCGCTCAAGAGAGCCGTGTTCTCTACTACAGAGACTGCAGGGAGGTTAGTTCTTACGTTGTCATCAAACTTTGAATTGACAGAACCCGAAGTCATAATATGATGCCAACTTCTAGGATCATTTGCACATGAGATCGCTTAAAGTAGCCATTTACACTAATTACGTTCGAATTCATTTACTATTGAAAACGACGGAAAAAACCCTATGGCAACATTATTCCATTAAAATTCCATCTTTCGATCATATCACGGATATGCAAGCTGATCGCGAGCATCATCTCTCTTCAAAATCGTCAAAATAAAAAAAAATAAAAAAAAGAGCCATTTAAGCTTAAAGTTGAAGCTCAGAATGCGTTTGCAAAGCCTGAAGTATCCACTTGTTGCCTTTACCTGCCAAATTTCGATGAAACTCAATTTCCTTTTTGTTTATGTAGAGGAATGTTTTGTCGCAGGCTGAATTAGCACCAACCATCGAACGATCTCTCTACCTGCGGCTAATGCTTTTCGTATCTGTCCAACCACTGCTTTTCGGAAGAAAAAAAAAATTTAACTTGTTTAACGCCCATGTGAAATAAATTTAAAAAAGATACGCCGGCTGATCAATGAAGACGACTTCATACCCTATCCAGAGATATGACTATGTATTGCGGAATATATTAATGGAAAAAGCTTTGATTATTTCCTCCTCACAAATATAACAAAAACATTTATTTAATTGAACAAAGTACATTGCACGATTCTAACGTTTAGTATGTAATGGATTTGACGGATGCGTGTACAATACTAGGCCGATGCCAAGCAGCTTTTGTTTTTCTAATCTTATATCCCGTGATTGCAACCTTGTAGAAGTCCCTACAGTCGATCAGTCAAAGGACAAACTTTTCAGCTAAATTTGTATGCCTGAGAAATTTGTGTTAAAATGTGTGTGTCTTTGTAGAGAAAATACTCTTCTTTAAATTTTCAAATCCTATACGTTAATAACGGTACGCACGCGCAGGTAATATTGGCAATCAGCTTCGCAGTGTGCATATTCGGATATGAGGTAATTTTTTTACCTACCAAACCCATTCATTTACATAAGCAAGAGCCGATAGCCTGTGTTGCTAGTGCTCAATGTCTTTTTTTTTTAGTCCAGGAATTCAATTCATTAGTCTAAAATTAAAATACTAATAATAATAATAATACATAAGCAACTTTGTTACGATCTGTCTTGTATGTGTGCTAATCTCGGTGTAGAAAAACAAAAAAAAAAATGCAAAGTCATTCGATAGTATATAAGTTCATATCATACAGTAGCGGTTTTTTTTTTTTGATTAGCTTAGCATTGAATATAAGTAACGGTTTTTTTCGCACCTTTAATCAATAAACGAAAATGAAGAGTTTCTTGGAAAGATTTAAAACACATATGAATGAAAAAAAAATAGAAGCGAATAAAAAATTTCCAATCATTAAACTGCAATAACTTACTCTATAAACCTTGTCGCGAATTTTCCTAAATGAAGTTAATTTACTGCTATAATCTTGCCCTATATATAATGTATATGTTTAAGAAGAAGAAACAAAAAGAAGAAAAAAAATTCCGAAGTGTAAGATCAAATGACGAAACTAGTTTTATGCTGTCAATACCTTATCATTCTAAGTAAATTAAATTAAGATCAATACTTTAGCTTGTGAAAATTAATCGCAAATATATGTATGTGTAGTGCAATATATTCCTGAAGGAAAATGACATTCACTCTGGTTACTTACTGTACTTTGCACTCACCTTCTAAAGAAATTTATTTAAAAGAAAATTTTCCTTTTTTTTTTTTTTGTTTATTAATTAATTTGCATAAAACAATTCACACTACACTATACATTCAAGGACGTGAAACATAAAACATTTATTTCAATCAATTTTTTTTAGCGGTTCTTAAAAAATTTCCGGAACAACTGCACTATTTGACATAGATCTTGAAACTATTTTCTTATACAAGTGTATATCTTTTAAAATCCCTCTGCTTACCAAATACGAGAAAAGTGCTTGCGTTGCATATACAGTTCGGGAGCGTATGTGTGTGTGTGTGAGTTTTTTTCGAACAAATGAAACCGAAAGTCTTGAAGCTTCTTTTTTGTAACTTTTCAATTTTTAAGGTCCTGTTATAAATTTCTTATGCGAATTAATCATGCATGTATTGGTATATAAAAGAAATCTCTTTGCAGGCAATTACGTAAATGTGTTTATAATGTAATAGGAAGTTTTTGATTTATTTAACACACCAGAGCACACACACACACACATATATATATATTTATATATAATTTAAGTTAGTTCTTCTTTATATGCGTACACTGTAAATACAATAATTATAAAGACGTTACATAAAACATACGCACATAATGTACAGGCGTCCCTCGCTTAACACTATATCTGCCGAGCACAGTTTTGATAGGATCCCATGTTAAGAAATTACGATTTCAAAAAGTCAAATATTCGTTTCGCTGAACTTTTACACCCTACAGCATTTGTGACATAAGGATACCTAGCCCAGAAGGACTTAAGATAGACCACCATTTTATTATACCCATCGATTTAGAATCACTTTCTGATTTAGTATAAGCGTATTCGTCCGTCCGTCCGTCTTCACTTGTTGTGTTCAACCTACAGGTCGCATATTTTTTAGATGGCTTTTGATGAAATTCAGTACACCGATGAGTTTTGCTTTAATAGCGTCCCGCGGCCGACTATACTGTTTTTATTTATATTTTTATTTATTAACAATAACAAAGAAAAAAACATTGACTCTCATCAATGTACTGGTTTTCGACGTATTGACAAGCCCAGAGACGAACCGTAGATCAAATTTGCTCTTCTAGCTTAATTTTTAAAGCTACAGACATGAAATTATTTAGCCGATTATGCAGACCGGCTTTGCTCACTCATTACAATTGCTTTTCCAATTATTTGGCCATAACATAACATAGCTACCTTAAATAGTTGCTTCATCACATCACATTAGTCGGCCAATGCGGTTTTAATATACTTTGAAACTTCAGTAGAAAATACGACATAAATGATATGAGAGATTTGAACACTAAGACTCTTACGATAGTTTTGTAATCGCCATACAAGATTAATTTTTATGTTCTTTCCTGGAACACCGCAAAAAAAGCAAAGAAAATGCCGTTCAGTAAACGCATTCCCGATCATCATAGATGCTCAAGAGTAGATTTAACCAACTCTCACCATTTATTTGCCTCTCATTGGCAGCTCGAACTGACACTTTTACACAAATTACTTTTTTATAAGATCGAATTCCGTAGTGAACGTTAGTTAGTTGTTCGCAAGAGCTGAAAAGCTGTAACTTAGCACAGCTATGGATATTTAAAAATTTAGTTAATACATATTACGTGCAAAGGATTTCCTAACCAGTTCTAACTAATCCTCGCCTATGATGGCTTTCCAAGACATTCCAATGCGAATACGATATTTTTAGCCGTTTAGCCGTTTGCTGTTTAACTCTTATCATGTTTTGTTTCTATGAATCTCAGGGAAAATCGCAGTTGAGTGTGCGTGTTTGGACTTTGTGGTAAAACAATTTTGAGGTCAAAGTTTAATGAATTTTTTTATGAAATAGATTCATCTCTCTCCCCATCAAATATGCAGATATAATGCAGATTCACGATAACGATCGAAGCAAGATTCTGATATTGAAAAATGTAAATATATCGGTCAGCAGGACCGGCTGACTGTACGTATCGAGATATGGCAACCGCTTTCGCTTTGCATCTATCGAAACTTTCGTATGGAAAAAAAACTCGAAAGTTTATTGTCGATTGGGTAAACCTTGTGCCTGCCTGCCTGCCTGTCAGTCTTTCAAATTTGGTCTTCATAATAATCGCGTAAAGTAAAATAAAACGCTTCGCTTTTTTCATTTGCAACCGTTTAACAAAAAAGAGGTTTTCTGACAAATTGTTCGGGAAATACTTGCGGGTTGTTTTTTCTGTAGATAGCAAATGTTTGAGTGAAAAAAGTGCAATTTTTGACCAAACAGAAGACAATCTTTTATTAATAGAAAAATTTCAGATTAATTTATGGGGGAAATGCTACGTCTCGCTCCAGAGAATGCACTTTTAAAAAATATCCTAAAAAATTCGGATGGAAAAACTGAAAATTGTTTGTCGTTCTGCGGCGGGCCGTTTTGAAAAATTGTGTTTCAAGATAAGCGCATTTAAAGATTTAGAACACGTCGCAAGTAGGCAAGTTTTCTTATTAACAATAAATTTTGTATTAGTTTTTCTCGATTAGCCTATGAACCGAGAAGCGTAAATCTGCCCTTTCAAGTTCAAATATTCCCCTTCGTTCTCTTTCCCCGAGGATTTTTTGCCCAAAAGTGCAAAAGTGCGTGTTTTTCCTTTCATATTCAACTCTTCTTTTTACTCGCACAAATTGCACATTCTTGCGATAGATCTCTTTGTCAGAATATTCCATGCTTTATGCATGTCAGCTTGTTTGTACACATATGCATATGATCATGCAATTACCGTTTGTTCGTTCAGGCTATTAAAATAGCCTGCGAGCAACGACCTGTGATACTGTTTGTGCATGCGAGCATATTCTATCCAAATAAAGATGATGTTATCATCCGGCGCTGACATGGACAAACCATGTATTACAAAAATGTTATCGATCATGTGTAATCATTTTAGTATATAAGCGCTTGTTTTTAATTCAATAAATTAGATAAAATAGTCATCTCAGCAATAAAATATGTCTTTTCTCTTCATTCATCGGTGTTTTGGTTCAAGTGCCTGAACACTATCTTTGTAAAAATCCTCAACAGTTTACGCTGGTTGATGTGCTTATGCTACTCATTAGATAGCGAATTAAACAGTTACCTTGGTGAAGATATGTCAATATATGTTTTTCTTTAGGCAATGATTTTAAGTGAACGTAAACAGTTTCCAAAGACATCCGTTAGTGTGTTGGAGAAGGTGGCAATCGAGCGGCAAGACATTAAGCTGCAACTACCGAACTGCAGCTCATTGGTGACGTGGAAACGGTTCAAGGAAAAATTTTCTTGCGAGTAATGCATTTTTTCCACGCATTATAGAAGATCCAAAGCGTCTGTTACGCAAAACAAAAAAAAAAAAAGAAGGAAACAAGTAAGAAAATTATATTCGGTTACGACCGAATCTTTTATACCCATCACCATTATGCTACAAAAGATTAAAAAAAAAAAGGAAAAGTACAAATTTGCATACTGCATAATATTGGAAGGGCGTGGCTGATTTTTTGATATTCTTGTAGAATGACGTTTTGAGCATTTATCTCGTACATCTATCTGTTTTAGGGTATGAGCAACGAGCAAAAGGCATGGAAAGCAAAGGTGTTCTTAGTGTGGTCGTGGTAGGCGTGTTTTTGTGCCTTGCTTGGCTCATTTTCAAATTTTTTTGCAATTTTATAGGCGATACCTTCTTTGTTGCGAACAGGAGAATGTATAGCATAGATTTAACACAGTTTGGCAAGCGGACGGATGGACAGACGAACAGACGGTGCGAGAACTTATAATATTTCTGTGAAATATGATGGCGATTGGTGCATTTTTGCGATCCGGAGAAGTTTTACAACGAATATACCACGGACGGATGGATGAAGAGACGGACATGCTTAAATCAATTAAGTATTTGATCCTAATTAATAATGTATGTACTTTACAAGGTCTCTGCAGCTTTCTTCTGGGCATTGCAAACGTTTCGACAAAGTGAACATACCCATACAACCTTAGGTGGGCGGATATAGAAATCAATTTTTCTTTTAGTTGTTACATAAACGAATAATTTCGGTTGCAGATATATTTATATATTTTTCTTTTCTCTTCTTCTTCTTCTTCTTCTTTTAGAAACATATGAATACAAAATATTTGGAATAAAGTTTTTAATCAGCTATATCGGCCGTGTAAGTGAATTGGATAATAATTCTAAACTATTCATAAGCGTTTTGACGATACCTGAGTGAAATAAGTTATAAACTTCACGGTTTACATTTGTCGTTTACCAAGGCGTTTACATTAATTTGTTTTTATATTTTATATAGTAAAATATATGCATGTAGTTTATGTATTTGGCAAATATTTCTTCTTCTTCTTTTTTAGTTTAAAGACAATATTCATAAATTTTTGTTTTTTTGTGTTACGCTTTATAACGAAAACAGTCTTCTTTAAATTCATATGGAAGCCATCAGGTAAAAACATGTGTGTTGATGTAATATATGATCGATGTAATATGAGCTGCATGTAATATGATAAAGTTTACATTAATAATGGAATTTTTCTTCTACGTAGAAAATGTTTAAATAAATCATAACTATTTCAAGGCTGCATATCTGGGCGATTGCTTAAGATGCTCTAAAGAGCTGAAACCCGACGAGCTTGCTTTTACTTGTAAAGTTATCGTTAGTTTACCATACATTGCATTTCTTGACTGGATTCATTCGCGAGCCCGGTTTGCATTGATAGGCTTCTGCAAAGTGTTTTGAATTCGCTAAGGTACCACGAACGCGTATTTGACCTGGCGAATGGTCCGAGTTAATTAATTTGAGAATAGCATTTTCTGGACGAACTGAAACACACCATCCTTGAGCGTAATTTAAAAAAAATAATTGTTCATGTGTAAGATTTAAGCCCGGCAATAGCGGCTCAGGTCCATGTTGCTCGGCCCATTTTTTATAAGCCTATGCATTTAAAGGAAAACGAGCATGTAGTTGATTCGCACAGCATTTAATAAAATACCTGAGATATGTGTTTACTTTGAATGCTTGCTTTACACCACCATCGTCGGCCATATTTTCCTCCAAAGTGAAGCGCCCGTTTACATATTGATCAATTTCCTCAAATTTGTATTCAGAATATTGATCTACCATGCATTGGGTATGCTCGTCGAATGTGTTCATTGTTTCGTTACTCCACCATTGCATTACATCGCCGTTTTTATCAAAATGTCGGCCTATCATCGCCAAATACATGTTAACGTTTTTCAATTTCGAGAGAAATACATAAACACATACCTGTATCATCGAATCCATGGGTTATTTCATGTCCGATAATAGTGCCAATGCCGCCATAATTCAGGGATTTAGGGTAATGTTGATTGTAAAATGTTGGTTGCAATATGCCCGCAGGAAACACTGCAATAGAAAATATGTATCTTACAAATGTTTCGCATGAGTATCTAACAAAACAAAAAAAAAAAAGGAAAAAGCTTAAAAGCGCACCGATATTATTTCGCCTGGAATCATAAAACGCATTAATCATAGTTGGATTAAAGGTAAATATTTCCTTTTCTGCACTCTTCCTGAGCAGTTGCATGTTCTTTGTGAATGCCCAATGAAGGATACTCAAATCGTTCTTGATATAATTGTCGGGAACAATAGTGAGCTTCAAGAAAACAACAACAAAATATGAAAATAATAACAATAATAATAATAATAATAAAAATTATGAATAATTTATTGCTGATTAAATTTAAACTCGTCTTACATTGAGATATTCCTCCTCCAAACGGCTGACATTAGTCAAGCTATCGGTATAGCCTATGAGTTCGCCCATAGCATCGGCTTTCTCTCTGGCTATATTTCGCGTCCCACTATCCATCCATGGATTCTCATTTAGCAGTTCGTTGAAAGCTTCGCGAATTGTAAGAATCATGTCAAGAGCGATCCTTTTGCTACTCGGATCGAAATGATCTTTTATGAACAGTGCCCCAGTCGCCATGCCGAAATTTGTATTAACTGATTCTACGCATCCGTTCCAATGATCTTCTTGACTTCGGACGCCCAACAATAATCTATTAAACTCAAATAAATCTCGCTCATATTCATCGACTAAGAGTACGGCGATGAAGCGCACCACACGCCAGACAAGGGAATTGTATAAAATTGTGCTATCAGTTCTATTTATTATCTTGCTTACTTCAGTTAAATATGGCACTGCACTCACAATAAGCTCCTCGTTTGGTCGCAGAGTTATGTTAGGACCTAAACATTCTTGCAAGTATAGCGTCCAATTAACTTCGGGAATCTGAACTTGGAGTTCAGGTAGAATTATTTTATTGTATTTTTTCTCCACATCAAATCGCTCTTCTTCCGGAATTGTCGCATTTGCTAACTGAATTTCAAATTGCAATACGTGATGAAGCTCCTCCGCAACTGTGTCACGTTTGGCTCCTAGTAGAGTAGCCGTTTTAATCATGTATCTGTGATAGGCTTTCCGTAATGTTTCCTTATTCGCCTTAATGTAATTATCACGAGAAAGTAAAGGGAATGGTGGTTGATCCATTTTTAAAATGTAGACCGATGTGTTCATATTGTCAAGTCCGACAAATACTTTTGATAATATCGGTAAACCATAGCTTCTGTGCACTTTACCCAACAATTCTTCAATTTTTAGACTTGGCGGTTTCCAATTGGTTTCTATAACTGGCCAACCTCCTAATGATTTTATAACTTGCCTTAATTGATCTTCCCCGATCTTCCGTATTTGTGCTGTAATTATAAAACGGTTAACATTCCCGTTTACATATTTAGAACCACTTTCCCCGGCATGTTAATATCAATACCTGTATCCATGCAACTACTATACATTGTTTTTGCTTTAATGGTCGCTTGATTATCTTCATCCTTTATTGGTTCCTCGAGTAGCCCCTTAAGTATCAAAGTCACTTTATCCTCCAAAATCTAAACATTTTTTTTTTTATTTATGATGATTTAGTTAATATTCAAATTCAAATCAAATTTAAAATACTATGGTGGGCCGATGCTCGGCATTAAATACCCTACACCGTTTTGATTAATACAGTTATTCATATAACGACCTTTCTAAGTAGGGCGTTATACGGAAAGTGGCCCAAAAAGTCATACCATCCGAACCATTTTCAATAGTCTGCATTCTTGGATCAAAATACGTCAGCATATGAAATTTCATCTATATTCACCTCGAAAGTTGCGACCTGAAGACAAGACGGAGAAGACGAACGGACACACGTACATCAAATCGGAGAGTGATTCTGAATCGATCGGTATAGTAAAATTGTCGTTTATCTGAAATCCTTCTGTGTGTTGCATACATCCGCCCAAACTTAATATACCCCCAACAGCACAAGCCGTCTCGGCCATAATGAATATACAAAGCCATAAAGCGCTTGTGAGAGGAACGTTTTTACAGAAAACAACGACGACAAATTTCCATACCCACTGTACCTGCAATTTCTTAAGAGCTAAGTTCGTCATTTTACAAACGCGACCATACAGATATATATGTGATTTACAGTCACAGTCACGACTAAGGATTCTGGTATATTTTACACCGTCTCAACTTTATATCGATAAACTGATAATTTAAATTTAGATCCGATTTCATGATCTTTCTTATATAAAAGTAATTATGTGCACGTGAAAGCTATGTGGCTTAAATTAATGTATCCCATTACCGATAAGATCAAATCGGTGCAATAAAAATTTTATAGTCTTCTTAACTAGCAGCGAGATGATGTGATGAAGTTAATCGAATGACTTCTTATAAGGGAGTGTTCTTAAGGATAAACAAGAAAGAAAATTATACTCTATTATATTGTTCTAAAAAAGACCTAAGAAAATAAAGGAACTAAATTTGTCACACCCTATGGCGCGGCTGATTTTTGCTATTTTCAAAATAAAAGTTTTTGTGACGTAGGCATGTGGGCGTTGTAGGTGTGTCGTTCGAAAAGTTAAAGTCACTTCTAAATTTTCAGAAACAGAGGTGTTCTCAGTTTACCTGGTACTGTCGGCGTGCCCTTTGACCGATCTGGCCCATTTCCAATGTCAACCTGCGTACAAGAATTTGCAATGTTTCTTCCAAACTTGAAGTCAATAGATTCATTTTTGCGGCTAGAAGAATGTTTACAGCAGACATTACATAAAAGGACAGACAAAGAGACATGCTTTAATCGATTTAGGATTTGATGCTGATTAAGAATATGTATACTTTTTGGGGTCACTGAAGTTTCCCTCTGGGCCTTGCAAACGTTTTGAGAAAGTCCAGATACCCCTCAACTTTTGCAAATGAGTATAGAAATACATTAATAAATCGCAAACTATTGGCGATTGGATTGATACGAAAATGGCGAACATTTCCGAAATAATCAGGAAGACATATTTTTTGAAAATTTTTTTCCAAGAGAGGAGCAAAAGTCATTCCGCCTATTATTTAGATCGGAAGCAATCTCATCATTATTTTCTAATGAAGTAAATATATTATTAAATAAATAATTTATATAAAATTGAACCTCTCTTGGCTGGAACAATAATCGATGAAGCACATAGGATATTTCAATTGTGCGTATCGCCCAAATCTTTAATTACTATCGACATTTATAAATTTTAATAAAAATAAATATATATGAATAAAAGTATTTAATATTATTTCATGTGCTAGTATTTCATGTGCTGAGCCCTATTACATGGTTTGAATTTTGAAAAGCTTAAAAATAAGATTTCAGTATCTCTAGAAGTACATAGGTGTAACGTGCTTATACATACCCTAAAAGTACTAATTGAACCTTTATCTTTAGGTATAAGGAATTTCTTTTGCCAGCCGCCGCATGCATATCGATAAAAATCGTCACAAGGATCAATGGTTGCGTCCATTGCTTCTAACAAATAAGATGCTAAAAGAAATATTTATAGCAAATGAATAGAAAAATTTATTTAGTTAAAATATAATAAGATTTAATTTTAGAATTATTACTTATTTGATTGCATCGCGTAAAGATATACTTCTAAATTATATCCTCCGGACTACTATTTATCTTCTCATCTAAAAACAGTAAATATGCTCGGCGGGAAAGATCGTATAAGAGAAAACATAATAAAAAAAGCCCAAAACAAAAAAAAAATAAATAAATAATTAAATACATAAGGGAACGCAAGCGTAATTGAGGTTATGTTCTTCACACCTTTGTAAGATGTAATGGGAACAATGAATAACATTCTTGTAAAGCGTAAAGGAAATCATTGAATGAAACCGCAACCCATAAAGAGATTCTTCATATAAAACGAAATAAGAACAATATTTTAAGAAAGAAAGAAAGAGAAAGACACTAAAGAAATATTCATTTTGAGGTAAATGTTTGCCGTACTCATTACTTCGAACCACAGAAGGGATATGATTGGCCAGTCTAGGACGTTTTTCCAATGGAATTTTGATTTTTTTTCTCAAAAAACATTTATAGCAGACTTGGAGCTAATATTCGGGTTTGCCTATAAAGATGTTTACCTATATATTACTATATTTATAATTTGTAGTATATTGGAAAAACAAACCATAAATAATTATTTATTATTGATTTCCTTCTTTATTTTTACACTTTATGCCACTTGCGTTGCAAGGGTGCATTACATTTGCCCAGATGTCTACACCGTCCGCAAGAACTTGATACCGATCGCTTCCGAATCAATTTCCGAATCATTTTTTGCGTCGATGTAAACTCATTTGCCCGTCCGAGATATTCTGATGAAATTTGCTACCTGATGTGTTCTGTCCCAAGGGCATCATATATGATCTTTTATATATTGAAAATAAGAATAGTTATAGGAGGGCGTAGGATATGCAATGGTGAACCGAAGCTCACTGCAGTGTTTTTGGTTTGTAATTTTTTTTTGTTTTTCTCAACCAAAGAAATATGCATTACATGTCAGTCAGTCAGTCGAAGCGGATAGATTGGCATTTAAAATTAAGAAGCGAAATAAGGAACTTACCTGTTCGCACACATTCATCCTTGAGGCAAATTTCTGCGAAAGAAAAATGAAAATAAAATTTAAAGAAAAGCAAACAAATTATCAATTCGATCGAAAAGATTTGTAGCTTTAATTTACATGATATATATAATTAATTAGAGTTAGGAGGAGTCTACAAAGTGTTGCTCATCACTTTCTTAAAAGGAATTTAATGCCAAAATTTTATTAATTTTCTCAATAAATATCGCATTAATTTAATTTAATAAATGATACTTTCATATCTCTTTTTTTCAAAATATCGAAAAAGAAAAATTTTTTTTAACAAAATCACTTGTAGTATATGGGTATATAATAAAGCCTGTGCGGATGCATGTAACATTCGAAAGGACATGAGATAGACTCACCTCGCTATAGAATCACTCTCTGATTTGATGTAGGCGTGTTCGTCCGTCCGTCCGTCCGTCCGTCTGTCCGTTTTATCTTCTTATGTTCAACCTGTAGGTCCCAATTTTCGAGATATTTTGATGCAATTTGATACACCAAAACGTTTTCAATCAAGGTGCAAGGTCATTGAAAATGATCGAGATAGGACGAATTTTTCGACCACTTCTCTTATAATGCCCAACTTTGAGAAGACGTTAAACGAACACCTAACTGCATTAAGCGAAGTGGTGTAGGGTACTTGATGATGCTGATGGGCCATGACCCACGCACAATCGCGACATTTTATATAATAAGTTATAGTAAATAATTAATATAAATAAAAAATATGTGATTAACGAGTAAATAATAAATAATTAACCATTTAAATTCGTGTTTTAAATTGATGTAATAATGTAAGTGAGTACTCATTACCTGTATTATAACAGTGGCTAGCAGCATAATTGATAATCAAAGTACTGAATCCAGCACCAAGTAATAAGCATAGAATGCTTACAGCCGCATATTTTGCTTTCGGTGTAAGTAGCTCCAATAGTCTATTTCGTCGATAGTTTTCATCGCCAGAACGACGTATACGCACTGAAGGAGTCTCGCCCTCGTTATCATAGGTAACTCTAAGGGCTGATCTTTCCATATCCCTAGGTGGAACTTTGCAACCCTTTGCGTATGTTTTTTTTCTTTGTTTTGATGTTTATTTGACGCACACACAAACCTATAAAATAATGATATCAAATATTTAGTTTCAAACAGGTGACGAACTACTTTGCCGATAGAAATTTCATTTCATTAAATTTTTATTCTTAGCGCTCGCTTTGCAATAAATGCGTACACAAGCGTCGTTGTTTATAATTGTCAAATAACGGTAATAAAAATAAAAAAAAATGAACTGTTAATCAAATTTCTGTAATATGTGCTTAGGAAACGGTGCTTATTAAACAATTTAACCCGTAACAACAGTTAGTTATTAAATTCGTTAGCATTAAATGCCGCCTATGTACTTTTACACTTAATAGCAAAGAATATATGAACTTCCCTAAAATTTCAAATCATGAAATAACCTAACAATTTGTTGTTCTTCATAAAGAAATTACAATCAAATTGTCCATTTAGAAGAGTTATCTTGAAGAAATTGAAAATTATTTGGAAAGTAAAAATTATCGATAGACGCAAGACGAACAACTATGGATGAACATGCATACGTAACATACTCAAGCCGCCGCACAAAAGAATAACATTTTCATTAGCTAATGAAAAATGGTTTTCGCAACGCAATTAAGAAGAATTTTGTTTTTTTGCAGTAAATAGGGTCCGCACAAAAAATCGAACAAAAACAACTTTGAGTGTATAATCCCCACGCTCTAACCTCTAACATAAACGATGAAGTGAGGTGTGACGAAAAAGTTTAAGAGATCGTAAAAAAAATGAAATCTTTTTTTTTTTTTTTTTGGTTCTATTAGTTATTAGCCTGCGATGCATCATTGCTCCCTCGAGTGATTTCACATCACCGTGGATTTTTTTTTATCTATGAAAATTATAAGGTATTTTATGAAGAATAAAAGCAATTAGGATAAAGTTTTTTTCATAACAATTTAAAGTCAAATTCAAACAATCCAACCAATAAGATTCACATCAACGATAGCATAACTATATTCCCGGCAAGAAATTTCCTAAGTATAGGAAAGTAAAGTAAAGTAAGTCAAATGAATTCTTCTTTCATTAAGTAAAAAAAAAAAAAAAATATTATTTAAACTTACGCTTATCATATTGTATATTAATTGTGGATATCTGGAGAAGAGAAAAAATATTTGTATAGCTAGCTTTACTTACTGTAAGGAATTATATTTCAAAGAATTATTTATTTATTTTTATCAACATAAAATGCAAATTGAATGAATTATTATGTGATGAATGCAAGAAGAACGTCAAATTCACAAATGCACTAACAAAGTAACGGTACCGCACACTTAAAAACACGAGTTACTTATTCGATAGTTTGCATCGAGTTTAGAAAAATCCCCGAACAACTGCGCCGTTTGACATAGAAATTTAAACTATTTACTTATGCAAGTGCAAATCCTTTAAAAACCCTGCACTTGGAGTTATTTACCTTTGCATTATATGAGAACATGCATGCATGCATGCATGCATGCATTCATGCCTTCTACATATATGTAATTATGTTAATATATATACATGCGTTTACACGTACATATATATATGGAATTTTGCGTAATACGAGAGGAGGACACAAAATTTAGTTAAAGGTTGTTTCATTATGCTCTCTCTTACGCGAATACCTTGTATTCCTACACATAACATACACATAGTTTTGCGCTCTTCTCAGCTCGCTTTAAACAACTCGTAACGATCTCTGCATAAATATATGTATATACGTATATATATATACATCTGATGATTTTGCTTCTAATTGATTTACGCGCAATGAGTTTGCAACAAGTTGTTGATGAAAGTGCCGTCAGAATTCAATGCACAACATAAGGTTCTTTTTCCTACTTATACGTTATGGTGTTCTACACAAAAAGTATTTACTTAAATTATTGTAATCCGAGGTAATCAATGGACTATCATTGATCAAGACATAATTGGTTAATCCATCGACATATCTCCTTTGACGCGCTCATCATTTTCCGGTCAAATGTTATCCAATGAGGGTTGGTTCTCCTCAATTGTAGGCTTAAAAGTTTAAAACTTAAATTTAATCTTAAATTAGAGCTGAGCCAAACACGAGTACAAACGATTAAGATTTTGCCGGTACTGATACCATATAATCTAAACATGTGAAACAAAAAACGCCATTTAATATGATCCAAGTGACTCACCAAGATTTTTTTTTAACAAGGCCTTTAGCAAATTCAATCGCGTTAACAGAAAAGTAACGGTTACAGGATTTCCAGTACATTGGCTTAAAATGCGCTCGATAAAACTGAAAAGGTCCAAACCCTTTCCCATGCAATTCAAATTTGACCGCAATGAAGATTCAGCGCAATTCATAACGCAATTGATATAGAGAAATCTGTAGCAAATGGAACACAAAGTTTGAAAAATGTAGATCAGTCTTGCTGAGAGCTGTGACAAGGAGAAGAAGGGGACACATATTCGTTTTTAATGAAAACCTACAAAAAAATAAAAAATACAATAAGTACGTTCTTCCATAAGGACGAACAAACCTGAAATGTACACATTGAATTTGACATTTTACTTTGTTACTCTTTTCCCCAGTCCATATGCCGTATCTATTAGCTCTACCAGTTGCAAAAGGATTGTAACATTAATACCCATTGTTTCTTGGCCATTGCTTTTCCCTAATTTTATAGACCGTTAAATGGAAGCTACCTCTGTACATATAAGTTCCACAATATTTATTTGAATTTATATTAGAAAGGAATTTTAAAAAGCAGTAGACATGATTTCATCGAATTTCTCAACTTTTTGTTTCATGGAGTTAATCGGATTATTTTTATGTTTATATATTTTGTCTACAATGTTCTTATCAGCAGTAGTCAAGTAGTTAGCGGACATTCTCTTTACCAATATATCCAACAAATATTGACAAAATTAAGAACGAAACATACGCGAGAGTTCGCTTTGGTCAGCACACCAACGGAAGTGATTGGATTTTCATGAAAAAAAAGGGAAAGCCAAAACCACGGCTGACCAGCAGCTGGCGACTCGCGAGCAGATTAACAACAATTAACAGAAATTTATCGGAAAAGAGCCGCTTGCTTGTAAAGCGGTAAGGAGAGTGATGAGACTATTTACGTTTAGTTTTTTCAAAACTATTTAGATTTGTGGTTATCTAAAGCATGTTTCCCAAAATTAATTCAATGAATTTTTTTTTTATTCTAAAGGTTGCATATGGCGACTATGGCCTACAGACAACGCAGCTTATTTGCTTTTTTTAGCCAATAGTACCTCTAGAACAACAACTACTTCAAGTAAGCATAGCAACTACCGCAAAGCTTCTTCGTAAAGCGCTCCTTTTGATTAGAAGATTTCGTGGGGTATACCCCACTTTTCAGAGAAAATTAATCTTTTTTACTTAATTTACTTAGTTTTTTAAGAAAAATGTCCGTCTACACGATATAGGGAAAAGAAGTTGCCAGGAAAACATTATAAAGTAACAAACTAATCATTCGTCCTATATCGCCAAAAAAAAACAATTTCAGAAAAAGTTTTTTAAAGTTTAAAACAAGAAATCGTCATAATATATGAAGGAATTTTAAATCGCAGCAAATACAAATGAATGCAATTTTCTGATGTTTGTGATAAATAAAAGAGAAGGACTACGAGAATTTAGCTTAAAAAATTAATCTTTTTAGATTATGTAATCGGGTCTAATAATAAAATACACATAATTCGTTTGTCTACAAATTGTACATGCAGGTGTAATATTAACTATAGTTTTTTGTTCACATAATTCTTCGCCAAATGTGTGCCTTTGTCTTTTTTGTTTCTAAATTAAATGAAAATTATTGCTTTGCTCTTTTTTTTCAAAAAAGTCATTTATACAAAGAGTCGCCAAACGTTTGCTTGTTTACAAGAATAATTTTGAGATGCAAGTTAGAAATAAAGGTGACCAATTGTACACTTCTTCTTTTTAGCCAATAATACTTTGTGTGTTATATTGTCTCGTAATCGATTTTTATTTCTCGATCTACAAGAGTTTGGACAAAAAGCAAAAAAAAATCTGAGATGAATTTACCGTTTGAAGAACAAAGGAATTTGTTCAAATTTAATTTTCCCTTCCAGGCATGAATTATTTGGTCACCTTAAATTCGGACATATGGCATATTTCTTTTTTATATTGCTCAGTATTGTTTAGTATCGTTTAGTGGTAGTTATAAAATTAAATTTTTTTTTATTTTATCGTTGAAAATTTTATTTTACGTTTTCGTGAAATATGCTAACATTGACAATATATTTTTACATTGGTTGCTTATATACCCTGAGTTATGCGGAAATATGCATCGACAATGGCCGGTGTAGCCCTTATTGTAACGAAATGAAAAGGAGCGATATTGAAAAACATTTATCAACAAAAACACCGTACCGTGCAATTGCTAATTTCGATGATAAACCTCCTGTATATGAAGGTAATATTAAAAAGAAAATCATTCTCTGGATTATTATTATATTTATTTTTATTTTTCATTAAATATATTATGTTCGAAGGCTGCCAACCTACACGAATTTGGTGCATTATACGTCATGGAACAAGAAATCCCAGCAAAAATGTTATAGAGAAGGCGAAGAACGTATTAAAAAATCTAAAAGACCGCATTTTGTTAAATTCGGAAGTCAGTTTGTGTCTTAAACATATGGATATTTTAAAAGATTGGCAATTTAAGGTCGCTGAAGAAGAAGAAAAATTTTTGGTCACCGAAGGCGAAGATGAGCTTATTGAGCTAGCTGAGCGTCTACAAAATCGCTTTCCTAGTTTAATACCAGAAAACTACGATCCAAGTATATATTATTTCAAATATACTGCCACCCAAAGAACATTTGAAAGTGCCAAAAGCTTTGCTACCGGCTTGTTTGGCAGACACCAAATCGGTCAAATAATATATCCAAAGCCTTTGCATAAGGATCCGGTATTAAGGGTAAGCGTTGCATAATTTTCAATACATAATTTCGACATGCGTTATGTAGGGCTTATTAAGGCATAATACGTTAAACATCTGGCACACGTTACATGATTTCTGTCAACTGAGTAATATGAATGAATTAAGGAATGAATGAATGAGCAGTTTAAACATTCGAGAGAATTTTATCGCAACTGTAGTTTGTATTTAAGAGAGATTGCTCACTTTGCATTTGGAAGGACTCATTTTTAAACAACAAATATTGATATGTCATCGGCAAAGTATGTTTAACATAATTTACAAACTCGTAAAGACATGAAATTATTAACATTCTCTCGAAATTCGTAGAAATTGATGTCTCTCTAACTGAGATTTTTTTTTGTGTGTGCTGTAAAGTAATTCTTACAATGCTAACACTTTGACAATAATTAACTTTTAGAATGGAATTTATCAGTTGCCGTAAAAAGATGAAATTGTGCAGATCGTATCTACGGTAATTTAAGAGAACGACCGGAAAGATTGTAAATATATCTTTGAAAGTGTATTGTGATATAAGCAATGGATAGATAGATAGATAGATATTCCTTGCTTGCAAGAGCTGTTAACCCAATTATTGCCAATCCAGAAAAGTACTGCCAACTGCTGCTTCATGCAATTTAAAAATAACGCAATTAAACTTCTGTTTACGGCAACGCTATTGGGAAGAGTAGAAAAAGCGAATTTTGAGTAGCAAAAATTGCTGCGTATTTTACTCGAACGTGATTAATATACTCTATAGATTTTGGAAAAAATTTTATAAATTCTAAATTATTTACACAACCTGCATTTTTTACGAAAAATAGTTGTAAATATTTATTATGCAAAGTTAAAAATACGAAGAAAAGTTGGAAAAAATATTTATGGTTAGGTTGGCCACATCTAAGTATTGCTCTTTAGAACTGCATGTGTCTGGCGAACTTCATGTCAGTCCAATCAATAAAACTGTTCAATATTATTTTTTTATAAAATATTGGCACAATTCATGGTTTACAGTGGGAAATAAATTAAGAAGATAAGTTTCGAGTTCGGACACTCCCTGTTATATTTTGCGTTGCTCATTTATAAAAGAAAATGTTCGAGTCCCACTATATGAATGCAAAAGTGGCGGATAGTAGCAGCTCTTGTGAAAGTTGTCCGGAAGCAGTTACCCAATTTTCACCATCCCCTAGCACAGGTTGTGATAATGAAAAAAAGATAATTTTACCAATCACGGAAGGACCAACGGGATCGGTTAGCCGAAAAACATCAATGTCAGAAAGTCAACAGTTACATCCATTGCTACAGAAGTTATCTCAGGAGCATTTCAGTGAATTAGTGCCCGACCATCAGTGCCCGCTCTGTTTTCAAGCCAAGCGACATCAAGAGACCATTGAAGGCTTAAAATATGAACGCCAACCTTGGCGTATACGCGAGCGTATGAAAACAGCAAGTGTGGCGCTGGTGTTATGCTTGAATATAGGGGTCGATCCGCCAGATGTAATTAAGATTCAGCCATGTGCTAGGTTAGAATGTTGGATAGATCCGTCGTCGGTGTCTGCGCCTAAAGCAATGGATATGATCGGAGCTAATCTTCAAATGCAATACGAACGTTGGCAGCCTCGTGCTCGCTATAAGAAATGCCACGACCCCACAGTGGAGGATGTAAAGAAGTTATGCACGTCTTTGAGGCGAAATGCTAAAGGAGAGCGTATTCTATTTCATTATAATGGCCATGGAGTTCCGAAACCAACGGCAAACGGTGAGATTTGGGTTTTTAACAAGACCTTTACTCAATATATACCACTCAGCATATTTGAATTGCAAAACTGGATGGCCGCTCCTTCAATATACGTATACGACTGTTCCAACGCAGGAATTATCATACAATCTTTTCTCCAATTTGCTGAACAACATGAACGCGAAATGGAAAAAGCTGTAGCAGCAAGTAGTCAACGTATTCCTTTGGGTGGACAGCCGGCCCAACTGCCGCCAATAATCAGTTATAAAAACTGCATACATTTGGCTGCTTGCTCAGTCAATGAAATATTACCAATGAATGCTCAATTGCCAGCCGATTTATTTACTTCTTGCCTCACGACTCCCATAAACATAGCTCTTAAGTGGTACACCATGCGAGAAAATTTTGGCCTAGTTCCAAGACTGCACAGTGAATTTATTGACAAAATACCTGGCAAAGTAAATGACCGTCGCACCATGATGGGTGAACTGAATTGGGTATTTACAGCAATCACAGACACAATAGCGTGGAATACATTACCTCGGGAACTGTTTCAAAAATTATTTCGTCAAGATTTGCTCGTAGCAAGTTTATTTCGCAATTTTCTTCTGGCGGAACGAATACTTAGATCTCATGATTGTACACCGGTCTCCCATCCAGCCTTGCCGCCATGTTTCCGTCACCCTATGTGGACGGCATGGGATTTAGTGGTTGACTTAGCTCTACGTCAATTACCTGATATTCTGGAAAGGGGAGCACCATATCGGCAGCTTCCATTTTTTGAAGAACAACTTACCGCTTTTCAAGTGTGGCTTGACAGAGAATCGGAATCTCGCACACCTCCAGAACAATTGCCAATAGTTTTACAAGTTCTACTATCCCAAGTACATCGTTTACGCGCATTAGAATTACTGGCAAGATTTTTAGATCTCGGTCCCTGGGCAGTCAACCTAGCTTTAGGCGTTGGCATCTTTCCTTACGTACTTAAATTATTGCAAAGCTCGGCAAAGGAATTACGTCCAGTTTTGGTATTTATTTGGGCTAAAATTCTGGCAGTTGATCCTTCCTGTCAAGTAGATCTGGTCAAGGATAACAAATATTTTTTATCGGTGCTTCAGGATCCCGGCGTACCCAAGGAATATCGTACTCTGTCAGCCTTTGTGCTTGCGTGTATAGTTAACAATTTTCTATTGGGTCAAACAAGTGCATTACAAGGTTCATTAGTTTCTATTTGCTTGGAACAACTTAACGATGATAGCTGGCTTCTCAGGCAGTGGTTAGCAATATGCTTAGGTAAGATTGTGATATTCAATATTTCTTTTGGAACTGCATTTTTTTTTTTTTTCTTCTAGGCATGCTATGGCAGAATTTTGAAAAAGCGCGGTGGTCCGGTGTTCGAGATTTAGCGCATGAAAAACTTTATTCTCTACTTAAAGATCAGATACCAGAGGTGCGCGCAGCTGCCGTTTTTGCTTTGGGTACTTTTATTAGTTCAGTCAGGGATCGTTCTGAGGAACATGCGAATAATATTGATCGCATTATAGCAATTACTTTATTAGAGAATGTGGGTGAAGACATGTCACCATTGGTGCGTTTAGAGTTGATTGCGGCTTTACAATGGATGGTGTTACTTTTTGAATCGCAATTCGTCACAGTTTATATGCAAGAGAACATGGTCTCTTCTTCAGCATTAAACGAGCGCGGAACGAACGTCAGTCACATAATTCCAGGGGTACCATTTTCTACGGTTATGCCTGGCATCCACCATCATTCCACTCACAGTTTGGAACGTAATTTCTCTATGCGTCGAGGAGCCAGTTCGAGTTCTATTTCGAATATTAGTTCTGCTAGCATACCATTTTATTCGATTTTCCTCAAATTATGGCAAGGTATTTACCAATTGGGTTATGATCCCTTTCCTAAAGTAGCGGAAACAGCCCAAAAAATCATTGCGTATATAAGGGATGCGGCCCTGTGCTTGATTACTGCTAAGGAAGCGACAACGAATGATAAATGCCTTAGTCTGAGTGTAAGCTTACCGCCAAGTCCAAATACGAAAATTTCCTATTTGAGCGGGAGTAACGGGGAGTCACCGCCCGTGGTAAAGGGTGACGTACTTGATGCCGTGCAATCTAGTGCTAGTCATTGGGCATCAAAATTTCGCACTGTATCCAATGAGCCTCAAGCTATGCTGCAACGTAAGCTACGGACTACGTCTATGAACGACGAAACTGATAGTGCTGCTCCGCCTCCTACCTCAACGACAAATGAGTCATTTGGCAATGGCGGTGGAGATGGCTCCGCTTCTGGTCACAGCAGCACCAGTGATACAAATTATGATGTCAAGTCTCAAAATCTTAGACCTATAGTAATTACCGATTTTATTCCATGGGCAATTTCTTACTTCACTCGCCCAGGAAAATATCGATATTCTACCGACAAAGAAACTGAACGCGTACAAGTGTTTCGTATCGATAAAAATTCGCCGGAGCTTAGGGCTAGGGAATGTAGACTTCAACGAAATCGAATCGTGAGACGGAAAGCCAAAGATCAACAGGCGCGCACTACAAGAATAGATCATCAATGTTGGATGCGTAAAACACAGTACACGCCTTCCATAGTTAAGTTACTGCCCTATGAAAATCAAATTGCCGTAGCCTATAAGGAGAAGGTGCTTGTTTACGACTGGCAACGCAATACGGTAAAAACTTTCACACCGACGCCAGCGCCTGCTTTGAAGATGTCACGTGTGCGAACAACATCATCGTCTACCTCATCTCCACCATCCGCTTATAATCTATCACAAAATCCTACAACCGCACGTGTTAGTGCTATTGAGTTCCTAAATCCGCAAGATGTAGCACTCACGCTTGTCGGTCATGAAGACGGAGTAATTAGAATTTGGCAGGCAAACCCAAATGAGGCAATTGATGAACAAATGCGAGAATCAGCGGGACGCCTGGTAACTGCTTGGGTGGCAATGCCTAGTTTACATGCATCTTACAATGGTACATCGTCCGGTACAGGCTTTGGAACATCATCGAAGCACTCGCGAAAGGATACAGGTGCTGTTGATGGCATTGGTTTAATCACAGCTTGGCAACAATGTTGTCAACAATTAATTACTGCCGGAGGATCAACTCGTTGCATACGCATCTGGGATATCGAACGAGAGTATCGACTTTGTGATATTCCAATGGGAAATGAAAGTTGTGTACGAATACTCTCTCCCTTCCCTAATAATGTTCGTGGCGATATCATCGCAGCTGGTTGCAGTGACGGCAGTGTGAGACTCTACGATAAACGTTGCTCTCCACAGGACTCTCGCATTCGGGTTTATCGTGAGCACAGTGGTGCCATACTTAGTGCATGCCTAAAAGACGATCAGACTTCCTTAATAACTGGATGTTCCCAAGGCAAAATTTCCGTTATTGACTTACGTTTAAGAGCACCTAAAGGTGTTGTACAACAATGGGATGCGGGCAATGATATTACGGCTGTTTCGATTCATCAGGCCGCCGATTTGATAGCCTGCGGTAGTGCTAATAAAATAGCGGTCTATAATAGTCAACAAGGCGGTCGAGCGCAGAGTATGGTACGCAGCCACGAAAGCTTCATGGGAACTAAAATTAGTCATCCCACGTGTTTAGCTTTCCATTCTCATAAAGCCTCCTTGGCAGTTGGATTCGTGGATAACACAGTAGCTGTGTATGAGCCCTCGTCAGGTATTCTGACTAACATGCTATAAAGTTTATAATTCAATTAAATGAAAACGGCTTACTGAGAGTAAAAAAATCGTTCAAGTGTTACTGCCAAATTTAACTTCTTAAGTTTTTACTGTGGTAGCATTAAAAATATTTTATATTGCATTAGCGTCGAAATAGGCTTATAATTGGAGCAAATTTGTTTGTTTCAGTTTTATAAACTGTGCAATCGCTGGCAAATCGAAGTCGACAAAAATCCGCAAACATTTGACAACGTGCGTAAATTCTTGAAAGGCAAGGAAATGCTGGCCGCCCTTAAAAATGTTCAAAGAAAAATACAACAATTCGATATTAGCGTTAACGATGTCCGTCTTATCTATACAATCTGCGCATTCGAAACTGCTTGGAATCGCCATAAGGAGGCATCTGTATGGTGTCAACTACTTGACAAGAATTCATTGGAAATTCTTGAGTTTGCCGAAGATCTAGAGTATTACTGGAATGACGGTTATGGTTACAACTTAACATATCGCATCGCTTGTCCAACCGTCCAGGATATGTTTAAACACATCGAGTAAGTGCTTACCGATTATAACAGAGAGAGAGAGAGAGAGAGAGATTAAAGTAATGTGATTGTGTATTTGTTGTGGTCTAAAGACCTCAGTCGTCTTTACCAAACGCCACATTTTACTTTACCCATTCAGGAACTCTATTAAAACTGATGGCGCACTTAGGTCTCTACAAAGACAGTTCTCCGTTAACTTATAAGAATTTTAATAAAAAGCAGCGAGCTTGGCGCACAAGTCTTATTGATTCGTTTGCTACAAATTTGGCTTTCGTGCTATATGAGTTAGTAAATCTATTGTGTTTCGAGTAACATGCTATGCATGCATATTAAGCGTTTATGCTTTTGCTGTTTTCCAGATGCGAAAACTCCAAGCCGATGATCTTAACAATGCATCAAGAGCGCGTAGTATATATACCAGGTTGTCCACGTAATTCTGATCTTTGCAGTTTGCAAACAATCCGTCAACTTTTTGCCGCCAGTGTGGAAAATTGCGATTTCACTAAAATATGTTCAAAAAACCCCGAATCGAATTAAAAGAAAATGTAACGACCAGCATACACCAACACACGCACTAATTATGTCAAACGCTTTTGCGAATCGATATATTTGTGATTCAATAAGTTTATATAATTATGTATATCGTCACAGAAACAGTGTTTACTTGAAAGAAGTCAACGTGTTCGCATCCACGTATTATATGTATTATACATGTAAATAAAAGCATAGTCTAACTTTTAAATACATGCATATCTATTATGTATGTAGTGAACAGTGCACTAATTAATAATATGAGTTAATATACTATTTTTAAGCTATAAATGATTAGTCAAATATACTTTCATACATTTGCATGCTCCCTCTTCTTATATCTATGATTACGAATAGTAAATTTACGAATAATTCATGGCGCTAATTATATTGATTGCACTTTACACATATACAAATGCTTACATACATACATACATACATAAATACATACATATACATGTATACAAATGTATAGTGTTATCAAATATGTTAAATTAATAAAATTTATAAAAATTATATCAATTATGTCTTAACGCTTTCAACTGATTTCATTGCATATGCATGTACTCAAGAGTCAGTGAGTCAATGCTTGCCATCACAATTGATATGTATGTATTTTCTTGGTTGACACGAAATTTTTGATTGCTCCTATTGTTGAAATTCTTGACTTAGCGAAGCTTTGAAAGTTAAAGAGAGAGCAGAGCATAAAGTAATATAGCATGACCATGACGATGATGATAACGCTGACGATGACTTGAAAAAATTGCTAAGTAAATGCAATATTTTCAAAATATGCTCGTCAATAACGTACTAGGCAACTCCCAGGCTTCTTTACGCGATTGTGGATCATTTCAAATGCCAAAGGTCAACCTAAGAACGAATTCTAACAATTGTCTAGAAACGCATTTCAAGTTCTAAAAGAGATTGTGCATAATTAAAAGCGCATTGTAATGCGTGATTTTTAAGAAAATTTATATCGCGAAAAAGATGTAGGATTGTATTAGGTACTGATTTGTAATTATCTCGTGCGATTATATGTCCGAGCTTTATGGAACTACCTATGAAAGCGATCGATTCCCTCAAATATCTTGCATAAGGTTTACCTACGCCTATCTTAAATTTTGTAGGTATTAAGCTTCCAACAATTTTGCTAACTAGTTTCAGTTATCTTCTGCAAAAAGCCAAAATATAAAATATCCTTCCATTTCAGATGACATTGTAGTAAATATGAGAAAAATTATTCATCGGCGTCTAAACGCAAAACGCGTCAATATTTTCCTTAAACTTTCTCAAAGCGTATTCCTAAATACTGTCTGTGTCTTTTCGTTTCATAAGTGTATGCTACTGCTTAGCTGCTTCTTAAATAAATAAGTCACGGTATCTCATTGTTCAAATAGAGTTGAGGTTGAAGTGTCTTTGTGCTACGGTAGCAGATAGTATTATTCATCCACACAAAAAGAAATCTGCCTTAAGGAGAGCTGTTCAGTTCGCAGAACTCATGAGGAACTTTTTTCTTTTTCTAGCATTCACTGCCGACGTATGTGATTGTACACTCGGAAATACACGTCGGGTATTCTCTAAAATACGTACACTTTTTTTCACCTTGACTCGTTTTGATCGGCTCCACTGTCTGCAGTGCAAATAATTTCTGGTAATGCCCGTAGGGTCAGTTTAAACATAGATTTATTCCGTCTGTGCATGCGTTCATATATAACAAGAATGTCAAAGTCGACTACACCACGTCGCCTAGTATAATTATTCACTCATTTCGATAATAATAAATCACCAAAACTTACATTATTTTCATGCTAAGATGTGATCCAGGCTTGTTTTTCATGATAAGTCCTATATAAGTTAGGATCTAAAACATAAACCTACGTGGTTCAAATTCCCTAGCGTTAATAATTTTCATAAATTGCTACTATAGACCAATTTTCAGCATAAAACATTAAGAATTAATCCTTCTTCTGAGAGAGTTACTATTCATGAGAAATCTTATATGGAGCGGGATTCAGGAAAAAAACACATGTAATCGGAAAAGTGGACCGATTCGAACCAATTCCAATAGTGTTTGTACTCGGGCCAGAACGCGCCAGAACGGTCATAGCGTTGCCCATTCTTAATTCCAGCACTTGTTGAAGCGCCGTTCAGACTGGCAATAATAAAGTGATCAATTATTGCGAATAGGAGGAAGAGACAAAAGGGCCAATATCTGATAAATAAAGCGGAGAAAATTCAACACTGCTCACGTCTCTTGCGCTGGGTTGTACGGTATGTGATAGATGTTGCCATCTTAACGAAATATCTTATGAAGTGTTCTAGTATATTGAATCCGTCCAATTGTCGATCAATGGTCGGCTCAATTGCAACACTCGTTATTCGTAGAGTTATTCAGTGGTTCTTCCGCTGAGTTATCGTAGCATATCTGTCTAAAACCAAATGGCAAAATTACTCGATCATTACAAGATCCAAATTGGTTAGAAGCAAGGCCATAAAGCTTAAACACATATTTAATGAGTAATTGGTGCAAACTTGAAATCTTCGAATTGCCTACAATCCATTGCTTAAGGCGAATAATTGCAAGTTGCTTCAGGCCAATAATCCGATCTTTAGTTTTAAAAAATATACAAGAATACACTGTCGCCAACTAACTAATTAATCCATCATTCTCTTTCTTGAAGTGCAGATGAGAAATGACAAGATCGAATCGCGTCTCGAACACTAACTTATACACAAGAGAGTTAGAGTTCCCTGAGAGTTAGACGAGACGTTTTTATCTGTGTCTAGCATTCAACAACCGTATTACTTACCTTGTAGTCAGTTAATGCCTGAGATCTTTTTGAAAAAAGGTGTTGCAGCAAATCATAAACTAGTCTTCTAATGTCCACGATTTCTTTGTTCGAGCGTTCTGCTAAATAAGCGGAATTTTTCGTTATTTGTCAAGTTCCTTTATACATTTTAAATATATGTGTTTAGCCATATATATGCAATGGGTTTCCTATTAGAGAAAATATATATATATATATATGTATATATATATGTTAAGGAGCATGCGTCAAAAATTTTTACGCAATAATTTGCATATTTTGCGGAATTTCTCATTAACTTTTTTAAAATGAATTTTACTATAGTTAATCATAAGGAAAAAGAAAACAAAAAACACGAATGGACTCATAGCGAATACGGTTGTGCTTAGCAATTAAATAAATTATGATAAGCTAATCAAGAGTTTGTGAAAATATATACTTTAGCTTGCCGGCTCTTGATTCGCTGGAAAGACTTGATAAACTTTGTGTGAGATGTGTAGAGATTTTTATTAAAATGTTTGACTGGTATTGTTGGCTATCTTGGAGTCTTGTAATCGTTGTCTCATGTTACATACTCTTCGAATTGCATTATTTTTGGCGTATGGCTTTGTGCCTATTATTAGCTCGGTTCATTAAGCGAAAGTGTCAAGTCCTGGATACCACAATAATATCTGGTAGGGAATGTAACGAACTGTGTATATGTATTCGTAAAAAAATGTACACTTGCATACGCATATAGTGATATATAGTGAAGGACTTCTAGATTAACAAAATATTCGCATCTTCTAAGATAAGTTACACTAATTATTTGTTTTTATATATATTTGCATTTTCGTTACTTCTTGCGATCTCATTCCTGATTGAAAGGAGTTTGCTTAAGCAATGATCTCGATCATTTCCTATGTCACATGAACAACGCTCGTTACCTTAGGGAAATGGATTTTGCACGAGTCGATTTTTACGAGCGCACTAAGCTTTATCATACAATTAGAAAAAATGGTGGCTCAATAGTGCAAGGCGCAACAACAATACGTTATAGAAAATTTATCAGACCCTTCCGAAGATTCTACATAACATCCAAAGTTAGTTTATTTGTAATTGCGGACATAATTTTACAAAATTTCTCGATTTATATACTTCTTCTGCATTTTTAGATCATATACTGGGATAGTCAATCGATATTCATGGAGCATCGTTTCCTTCGACCAAAAGATCAGTTCATACATTGTATAGCGATTTGTCGTCAACGAATCATTGGCTGTTCGGTGGACGCAGTTCTATTGGAACTTTTAACCCGCAAAAGCCTAAATGACACCATTTCAGTAGAAAATGGCGAAGTAGTCGAGTCTAAATTAAAACCGGAACCTACAGAGGAATTACAAAAATGGATTCAATATAATGAAATATCGAGTAGAAATTTAAGGCAAAATAGTTGATAGCTTTTTTTTTTTGTAATTTTTTTTCTTTTCTGGTTACATTTTTAATAAGTTATTTATATTAACATTTACACGTGTGTATATGTATGCGTGTATGTGTGTGTGTGTGTATGTGCGTATGCATGGATGGATGTTTTGTTTTTTATGCAGCGCGAGATACTACTGTCCCATGCCAGCAGTATACACGATTCGCACTTCACGGCACCTACATACTAAAACCATCCTCGACACACACTTCATCGACCACTCTCCACCATCTTTATGTATTATTACGCGGCGGATCGTTGCAGTTAGTGCGTTGCAAATGATGTAATCTTAGTGGAATACCATAATGGTTTCCACTTCCTCTTTTCTCCACCCGATGTCTCTCTAGTCGCCTTAATTCCTAAAGCATCTTGGTCACGAAGTCGTTAATAGTGCCCCATGCTTCACGGCTATCGGCCAGGAGCAATTAAGGATCGCGTGCCCCATACCTTCTTCCGCGTCCACACAGCTCGGGCACACTGGCGAACTATCATGTCCCGGCCGGCATACAAGATTTCGGAAGCAACCATAACCAGTGTATGTGTATTTGTGGGCTTGTAAATGTCTATGTGTGTGTGTGTGTAAAGGTCTAAAATTACATTATACTTTTTCGCAGTTAAAATCAAATGACAAATAATTACAAAAGCAACGCTGGCATAGCTGACAACGCAAACATTCAACAATTTTCATGCGACATTACAAAACATTTGTACTTCAATGACCTATGACTTGCTACTTACTACTTACTTACTGTAAGAGAAAGTAAGATGCGTACAAGTGTTCGTCACATGTACTTTCTCTTACCGACCAGTCATCTGCGGACATACGTACATGGATATGTATTATGCATAGACTGGATAATGACTGCATCTGTTTATTAAATCGCATTCAAAATTATTTACTTTCCCTTATTCTAAATTTAATTCTATTATTATTTATTCTAATCACTTACTGACCTTTACCGCAATCGTATTCTAGTTTAGATAAAAAAATAAATATATATATATATATATATATATATATATAAAAAAAGGAAAAATATACACTTGCATATTACTTATCCTTGCGCAACGGCAGACTAGCGAGTTCCATAGCATCAAGCCATAGTCGTAGCTCTTCGCGCAGTGCTGGACGTTCTTCACCGATTTCGTCAAAGGTTTTCATAAGATTCATGACATTGCAATCATTAACGTTCTGCTTAGAGAAAGCTATCGCTCGTACAAAGCCATCCGATAAAGTTATAAATTGTTGTTCCAAATAGATGGCTTTCTCATCCCACCATATCAGTTTGGTTTGTATTTTATAAGCAGAAAATATGGGAATCGAACGACGATAGCGTATAGTAGAGGCACCTTGTACGGCACCGCCGCCAAGCTGTCGTACGCGTTTATATAAATCAGTTAAAGCATAGAAATGGAAGCGAGCAAAGTCCAGCTCACGTAAATATCTTGCGTTATTCATGTGCCTGATGAAAATGTCCACATCTTGCGAAGTGCAAAGACCTAAACGAATATTATATAATCAATCAAACAAACAATAGCAACAACAACAACAACAAATGCAAATACAAATACAATTCAATACAATATCTAAAACTGGATACATAAATGCATTTGCGGCTTTAAGGCTTTAAATGTAAAGCTGACTCGAGATCGTCAACAAGAAGATCGTGTATAAGAAATCAGTGCTGGCAGTAATACATTGGATATGCAAAACATCCAATGTCAAGGTTCAACGAGTGTTAAAGATAAACTTAGACGCATCTCAAAATAGTACGCGAAAGATAAGCACACACACACATTACAGCGAACCTGAACCGAGCTTAAAGTTGAAGAATGCTAAGAGTGATAAGAAAGTTCGATTTTCTTAATTAGGAAAACGATTTTCATTACTCAAACTTTTTACTATTTGCTGTATGCAGGGGACATGAACGCTGAGCACTGAGGTGTGAGTGAGCGTGAAGTAGTCATTTTACTATAATTAAACCGACTTGCGTTAGTTCATTCACATGCCGATATGTTGAATAGCAGCTAAGCAAACAACTCGTAATGAGCCATTTGTTCGATTGCTTTCGAATACACACACTTACGGATTAGATAGATAGATAGATAGATAGATTTGTAAAATGATAAAATACTTTTGCACATGTGAGCTTAGTTTAAGGCCCATCTTTCGCTTTGTCTTCGTCTTACCGTAGATTGTTGTAGTATCAGTAACCTTTCGCTTCGGTTGAAATAGACTGCCGGCGAGTATAGTAAAGATGCAACGTAAAAAATAGTTAACATCCCATAATATATAGAATATCAAGGCAAGCACTAAATAAGACATGATGACGACGAAAACCAGTTTTTGCTTTAATTATGTGGAAAGTTACTAACACAGAAAATTCTATGATTTTACTTCTTTTTTTTTTTTTTGTATTATAATACAAGATATTTTATAAAGATGAAAACTGCTTTTCCTTTTTCGTTTAACGTTCAAATATATTATTTGTTTAATTTAAAATATTAAGAAACTTGGAGTTTTTGCTTTTGAGGCGATATCGCGCATTACGTCTGGTAGTTGAACGTGAGTTTTGCACACTAAGACGTACTGGCCGATAAATAAACAAAAACCAAACTCGATTAATTGCACTCAATATTGGGAAGAAGAGAGTTTTATGCGTTTTGTATAATGTTAGCTCTCGCAGAGGTTTCACAAAATCGCTATCAAACAAGTGTAACGCGTGATATCTTATTGATGTATTACATTATTCTTTAGCTGGTAAATTAAATATATTAAAAGGCAAGTGAATATAGAGGAAAAAGGAAGCATAGCTACGCGAAAGGATAAGTAATTAATTGACTCTGGTTTCTCAAATCTCAAGTTTTTCTTAAAATTATTTAATAAAAATATATATCAAATAAAAATTTTTATATGCAAGATCCACTGGAAATTGAGATAGACCCGCCTTTTATTATACCAATCGATTCTGAATCCGTTTTCCTGGATCACTTTTTGCCTCGATCTAAACTTTTCTGTCCATATGTCCGCCCGATGTCTATGCAAGTATCTTTTTGTTCAACCTACAAGTTGCAATTTTCAAGATACTTTGATAAAAAAATGCTCTACTACCGTGTTTTGGCCCAAGAACGAACGGTATTAAGAATCGTATAGATTGCCCCACCTTTTCGGCCACGTTGTATGATTAACTGTAGGGTGATGAAGAATGATTTAATGGTGGTCCGTCGCGCACTACAGTGTTTTTACTTGTTTAGTCCTCGAATTTAGTAACAATAATAAAAAAATAAGTAAGCAGGTGATAGACGGCCAAGGCCGACTTATTCATACTCTACACCATTTCGCCTAGGAAAGTTATTCACTCGTTTTGCTAACAACATACCAAAAACTTAACAGTTGTCCTTCATAAAAAACTATAAATTAGATTTTCTCTGTATATACGGTCTTGCTGTTCGTGATAAGCCCTATATTTGTTGGAGTCTAAAGCATTACAGCTATGTGCTTCAAATTCCCTACCGTTAATATTTCTGCTAAATTGCTATTATCGATCAATTTACATCATGAAAGTGAGATGTAATAAATAGACTTGTGTGGTTCAATTTTCGTCTACTTAATTTTTATGTGAAATTACTATCAAATTTTTATTGCGAAGCATTAAGAATAAGGCCTTTTTGCCATATAACTGTTTTTCAAACCCTAAGGATCTTTGTGTGCGGTGGCATCTAAAAAATAGACCTACGTGATCCAATTAAGTAAGGTTGACTTTTGGTTTGTTAATTTAGACCCTTTCACCATGTCAAGGTTTCGTTTTCATAGGAACGTAGGTTATATGAGAGTCGGTTCGAAAAGTTGCCGCAGCCGAACCAAATTTTTGTATACCAAATTTACAATGTTCAAGTACTATTACTCGAGCGAGTTTTGTTAAAAAATTTTGGAAAATTATAATTTTCTGCCATATAATGACTTTTGAAACTTTGAATGACTTTAGCTTTCAAATGTTTGTTGGTATGTCAAATTTCAGACTGATTTGATATTTTAAAGAAGGGCACATCAAATACCAACACAACAACATTTGCGAAAACGTATGGAAAACGAACTTTAAATGCATCTAACAGCTTATACAAGCGTTCGTTGAACGTTTGTTCACACGGGAATTCTCAGCATACAATTTGATCAATTACAGCAGTTATATTGGCCGTAGAACGTATCTGGGATGCCCAACATCTCAAGCCTGTGAGCGTGTCAAGTGATTAATGAGAATTTCATCTTCGACACTTATGTTGTAGTTGTTGCTCTTTGAAATATTTTCACCAAACATTACTTGCTTGCCTCTCTTACGGGTGGCAAGTTAAAAGATGTGTTCTTCCTATTATAAGCGTATTTATGAATGAATCATTTCTACTTTTATGCTGTGTAGTGGTATCATAAAGGACGTACGCAAATTTCCATTTCCAATTTTAAGTTAAAGTCTGCTATCGATTGTCACTTGCATTCGCCCCTACTATTGGGATGATTGTTGTTAATGGAGCATTGGACCACTTTTGAATTTGTTATGTTGCACTTAAAATTCAATTTTCCCATTTTAATAACAGGCTACAGCCGCTACAGCAGACCTAGAATGTCGAATGCTGATTACGGACTCCCCGATGCCGTGGTGTCGATGATTGCTATAAACGGAAAAAGGTGATAAGGTCTAATAGACACCCTTCGATGGTAGATGATGGATGATGAAAGCAACTATGAACACAACCAAGGAGGCCTAAGGAACTTTCGCAAATTTAACTCGTGACTATACGATCAAATTGTTGTTGCCAAGTTTTACCGTCTTATTTCGGACTGTATATACATACATATATCGTTCGGGTCTCGCTATTACCGGATGTACCGTACGGAACGCCAGACTGCTATTGACTCATATACCGGTTATTTTGGCAATAGGTATAAGAGGAGAAAACTATTGGTCCATTACATAAAAAAATATTGCGGTTTTCTGAAATGGCTTAAGTGAAAGTGGGTAGGGCGAAGGGACAAATGAACGACCGATCATCCGTCATCCGTCTGTTCGCAGAACTGATAAAATATTTGTTTTCTTAAGTATTCGCTAAATTTGCGCAATAAGGAAAAGTAATGTGTTTACCCTACTTAGCTTTGTAAACTTAATGATGGGAGGTCGTAACAGTGGCCTTGGATTCTCTCAATCTCCAAGCCATAATTTGGGGAACAATTAACGCAACTTGAAACTGTTATAATGAGTAATAGGAAAATTCACGTTCACAAATACGTGATGAGTGATTATATATCTGATTTATTCAGAAAATGTATGTAACTTGTGGAGTCTTCGTGTAGTCCTTTTCTTGCTAATTGCAAATTTTAAAGACATACTTTGAACGTTGAACGTTAACTAAATTCTTCTGTGATCGTAAAAGATTTAAACGGTGAACGGTGAATAATACCTACACGCGAAGTTTCCATCGCTCGCTCCTATATTGCGTTCTACGGTTTTCGACGGACTCGACATATGCGCAGATTATGCAAGCAAATTCAAATAATTTGTATATTAAAAGATAAATGAACAAAAAAAAAAAAAAAAGATTCCCAAGTGTTTAAAACAAACACACAAAAAAAAAACTGCACTTTGAGCTTAATTTACATGCATACTTTCGACACACACACACACACACACACACACACACACAATAATTCGGCATAGACCGTTAAATGAATTATTCAGCAGACAAGGAAAAATTACAAATTATTAAACCGAAGGGCAAGAGTTCACCTCGTACAACAAATCAAATGGTTGATAATGTAGATAACGATAACCATTTGCAAGTGTCTTCCATGCGGGAATTTTTGGAATTCTTTAATATTCAGAATTACTTGAAAATTCAACCAAAAAATTATAATTTGATGATTGTTGGAGAAGATAATCGATCGAAAAATATGTTTCCTTAAGAGATCACACGGCCATATATTTGCGCTGTTGGAAAGAAAACACCGAAGAACGAACAACTCCTTCGGAACTAGGAAATGCGCTAAAATACTGATCTCAGTGAGCGACGGTTAATGCCGATTGGCGGATGACTGACTTTTCAAAAAAATCGATACGGTGATCGAATTGTTGAGCTTCGCGTTGTACGCTATCTAATGAAAAAATGCAATGTGTGGAATACGTTTTGGAATTCCATGGAAATCGGTTTCGGGGCATGCAAAAGTATTTTAACCATTTCCATAAAGAGACACATGCAGCAAGCTGTTCCGTTACATATATTGATGTATACACAAGGGCATCATTGCATTCTGTTAATAGATGTGAGAAGATTGCGAAAATAAAAATGATCACGAACAGCCCACAAGTGCGCCAACAATAGCCGGAAAATCAAAACCACCTGTACTTCGTACATTTCAGTACAGAGGTAACAGGTGCAGAGATCAAAAATTTATTGTCGTCATTTTGCAAAACCGCACAGTCTCGTTCCATTTCCAATTGAAGAATTTCGTTATACTTATTAACAGGGTGGATAGGTATACCGGGTTTTCATATATCAGTTTCTCGTTATACGAGTCATTAATAAAACGTCCAAAATATTTTATTGATAGGTTCTAAGTGTACCCTTCTAACTTAAGATACGCATGTAACGTCACGTCGCCTATATGAACCCTTTCATTACAGTTGTAGGGCATGACATTAGTTATAAGGGATTTTGCAGTTCCTTTAGTCTTTACGTACGGCTACGTATTTTAGTCGAAACTGTCCAATTGTGGTATGTTCTGGACCGTAAACAACTTGTGGCAAAAGATATATTAAATTTGTGCGGATGCATGAATCAAGAGCCTGGGGGAGGATCATTCCTCATTCTATGCTAACCGATGACGTCCATCCGTGTGTGCTTCCGATGTCTAATCATGTGTTGATATGCTCAACCTACGGCTATGTCAACGTGTTTTGGCCTAGGACGGCACCTATTGAAAGTGAAAGGATCGGACCATTTTTTCGACCACACTTTTTTTTCCCACACATTATTCAGAAAAAAGTCCTTTCATAAGAAAGAACTGCAATTTTCAAAATTTTTTTCACACTAGTCGCTAATTTTTAATATTCTAATTTTGTAAATGGACGAGAAAAATTTGCATCGTATAGGATAATTTTTTCAAGCCTTTGTTTATGTCCCAATCAATCCTCCGTTGCTGAGATAATTGAATCTATATAAGAAAAAAAAAGTATAATTTCACAGTGAAGTTTAATCCATAGTAATAATTACTAATTTAATATAAAGTTTGGAGCAAGCAGGTATATTTTTTGGATCCCACTTTATAAAAGACCCCTTTTGAGATGTTAGCCTTTATGCAGCAAAAGCATCTAATTTTTATAAAATTAAATGCGCAAAATTTGGATCGCATAGATTAACTTATTGAATTGGAAGATTGGTTCATAACGGTAATTTGATATAGAAATTAATTGGATCAAATTTATTTTTTGGATATCATTCCATAAAAGGTTTCCAATAGGTAGTAAGTCCTCGAGCAAAAAACTTTAATTTTTTTTAATATTTTCTCATAAGAGTCACTTGACATTATGATCAACAATGGGAAATTTGGTTCACATAGGCTTATCTTTTACAACTTGTCAATAGGTCTTAAGAGAAGTAAGTTGAAATTTGATCGGTTAACGGGGAAAGTATGACTTTTTACCTGAAAAGAGAGTAAAAGAAGGAATGAATGAATTATATGAAGCGTGCTGGTGTAGGGTATTCCATAATCGGCCGGTCTTGCCTGACTGCAGTAACATTAGTTGTTTTTGCATATATACAATGTGCAATGCTTTCTACTCGCAATTTCAATTTCTTTAAAACAGAAGAGAAGAAAAAAAAAACATGCTTTGCAAAGTAAATACCGAATAAGAAAAGTCGTTGGTTAAGCCGCATTTAATTTTTCTTTTACGTTAAATTCATTGGCAAGTGTGATTATAGTACGTCTATTGTTTCGCTTGTCACGCTTCGTATATATTCGTAATCGTGACCATTCAAACTAGATCGACCCACAAGTCTGAACTGATATAACTGCGTCCGTGTCTCATCTATCGTTCGATCCACGAACGACATTTGAACGAAGCTTGACGGATACTTTCTAAGCTTAGGCTGACAAAGATTCTTTACAAATGATCTCGTCGCTCGTATTCATGATAGTGATTTGATATACGACGACGAGCGAACAATGCCGAAAATTTCAAATCCCAAGCAACGCTTGTTCCACGCCTTCGAATATTCGAATATTCATTAAAGTTGAATTATGGTCTTGGTGGTAAAGTTACAAAAATTTTATTAGTTTCATTAGTATTTGTGGTTGTGTATGACTATCGTAATATTGGAACGTTCCCGTTCACGTTCACGTTCCCGCTTAAAGCAATGCGATAAATATCGATTAAGTTTTAAACGTTGAGAAGCAAGTCAAGTAAACCTAGAGCGCATTAATATTCTATTGATTATTACAAGTGTAGAAAACCGTAAAATCTCTCGCGCATAGTGTACGAGGAAAGCACTAAAGAAAATTTCGCATTGTTTCCGAGTCATTTCGTTTATTTATTTATTTTCATTTTTCGTTCTTTTTTTCTCGCACTGAAATGGATGCCAGATACTTCTTTTTTAAAGTGGAATAACGATGTCGTTTAACGTTTCTTAATTTTTTTTTATTATTTTTTTAATTTTTTAGTTTTTTTTTTTTTTTATGTGAAAGATACATAGATAATTTGTAATATTCCCGCGTAGTCGAGAGGAGCTGGTAGAGATGGTAGAGGATATAAATGTCCCCCAAGCGATCAATTACTGTAGGGTATATTAGGCAGACGCATCGCATTTACTTGATTATTATGATGGCATTAAGGTAATTATATGTTTGTTGGTTTATTTATTTATTTATTTTTTTTTTTTATCTTCTAAATATACAACATAAGCATAACAACAACGTTTATATTTACTTATATGTATTTAAATTTAATTTTCCTATGTGTAACCCCAGCGACAAACAAGAGCGCTCTCAAGCAAACAAAAAGTAGCACACAAAACGAGACTCATACTACTGCAGCCATATACCATCAGCCAGAAGATTCAACAGTTTAGCACAGTTGATCGCGGTTGTCGGAGTGTCAACAGTTTCACTTATTTGTTCACTACGTGATATACATATATATATATATATATATATGTGTATATGCAAGACAATTGCATTCGTAGTGGTCGGTGATAAATTGGAAAATAGTTTCAATTCAGTGCGATCTCAATAATACCGCAGTGAACAACTGAAGTGCAGACCAGCGAATTACATGTGCGGTGATCAATGAAAGAGAAGAACGCACAACTTATACGCGCGCATCTGTCTGCAAGCAAACAAACAAAATTATTTGTAAAATTTCATATACAAAGACAAATAAATCGAAAGAATAAAATTTCAATCGAAATTTAAATTTAGAGAAGAAAGTGGTGAGAGAAAGTGAAATCCATCAGCACGTTTTTTATTAAACTCTTATGAGGTATGTGATGAGAATAACTAAAATGAGACATTTCTTCTTCGTTACGATCCCAAGAGCTCGGAAAGAAAGAAACAAACTAAATTCAAAGAAAAGAATATTAACGACATTCTTAGTATCAAGTGGAGTAAACCACTGAATATATTTACAATTATATATATATATATATATATATATATATATATTGTATATAGTGTAATGAAAATTTCAATCTAAAAAGTAAATAAATATAAATAAATCAAAAAAAATATTCATAATAAATGCAAAGTCTAACACACATATATTTATATATATAGTTACATATATATAGTTACAAGGACAACAATAGCAGCAGGTCTGCGATTTTTGTTTACAGACCAGAGCTTATTGTCTGTAATGTATGTATAATATATGTACGCCTATGCCATATGCATATGCATAGGCATGTGCGTGTTTGTTATGTATATATATATATATATGTGTGTGTGTGTGTGTGCTGATTCTAATCCATGTTATGTCAGATATGACAACATTTTTGATGTGAATCTAAACTTTTAATTGAAATATATTACAATTTCCACAGTTAGATTTAATACGATTTTATTTATTTGCATTCGCGTTACTATTATTTTATTGCCTGACACTACGCTTTGCTTTGCTTTGCTTTGCTTTGCTTTACTCTCCTCTGCTCGCCCTTTCTCTTTGCTCGCTCTCCCCCCCTCTCTCTATAGTCTCCTTTTTCTTCTTCATTAGATATAATTTATAAATTAACGGAAATGTCATTTGTTGTTGGCGGATGCCTCAGTTGATGCTCTTTGTCTTTTTTTTTAATGTAGGTATGATTTTCAAACCACTTCAGTATATATTCATATACACGACGTCTTTGTTAGAAAGCGCTAAATTAAAGCATTGTAACCCAGCGTTTACCTAAACCGTTGATACCGTCTCTGTTTGTAGTAAGTCTTTTACGTCCATTACAACGGATAAGTATTTTCAATTCTACAGGTGTCCCACTAACACAAGTTATTTCTGCTTATGGGGCCAGTCTCTAGGAAACCATGTCCAGCAATAAGATCAATAAAAGGACGAAAGACCAATCGCACAAACAATTAATTGCCGACAATTTGGGTCAACACAAGCAGTTTCGGATTTGTTCTCTTCAACCTGTCCTGATTTATTTATGCATGCACCGACGCATCATTTTTCATTACTACATTCAGTTTTTAACTTATTAGAATGATTACAGCGGCTTTTGAATCAATAAGGCAAGCGTTTCTGAAGACCGAATGCTGCTCCCCATTTAACTGATAAACTTTGACGGATTAAAAAGCCAAATTCAATTAGAACATATGTCGTGGCATATATACTAGAGCAGAGCCAAAAATAAATCGTCTCCTGAAATTCAAAATCGAATTAGTCACGTCCCTCTATCTATATCGATTGCTCAAAATTGTCATAGTACCCAGCATAGAGACAAGATTACTTGTCTTTTCTCTTGCCCTTCACTCACTTACAACTTTCTCGTTCACATATTAGAATCCTTCGTAAATGCCATAACCATTACCGATTTGATGGACATCAAAAGATTTGGGACAGACAAGCTTAAAAGGCGGGTCTTCATACGCACGTACTTAATACACTTGTGTCACAAGCTGCGTATAGGAGTACAATTAGGGACCTGTTTCTCTCATAAGATAATAACAATTACATCCTTTTGTCGTACGGAGGCTGACTTTTCGTGGTAACCCCTTAGTAGGATATAGTCCGGGGAGTATCTCAAGAATCGCTGTCTCTAGGTTGAAAACAAGAATGCACGATGGATGGACGGACACACAATCTGTCTGCGATTATTGAGGGATGAGTGTGTGTATATGCTCACAACACACAACAACAAACAACGACAGCTATTAGTTCGTACACAGGTGCAACCTTATCGTTTTCAAGACCGCGATAAATATTTTGCTTAGCTTCCGATTAATATCTTTAGAGTTCTTTTAATATTTTTTAAGTATTTCACACTTTTAGTTATCGCATTTAAAAACGAGGTTTAATCTAAACAACCGACTCCCTTAAAAATCAACAAATAATATGTCAAGTAGTGGTATTTTACGATTTCAAAAGAAACGAAACTTTTTGCTAATCAAGTCTTCAATGCATTATAAGGCGTTTTCCCGTAAACCCTTTTATAGTGTAGGCTATCGTATAGTATATGATATTGTGTATGGGCTTAACGGCAGGTCAACGCAAGAGTAAAAACTTAGCGAGCATTAGTAATGGACGGCTCTTAACACATATTAATGAAGATGAAAATGATGATCGTGAAGTTTTAGCTCATTATCGCGTTTATGTTCCATCAAGCCAATCGGATCAAAGCGAAAATTTGCTTTAAATTTCATTCTCTACGCCGCGTGATTGCCATGTCCATACTACCTATTCTTACGCATTATATTAGCCGGCTTCTTTTAAAACGTAACGCGACTATAACTTAAAAAAGCATAGGTTTTTTTTGGGTGAAAAGAAAGGTAGCAGAGTAATAATATACGGAGAGATTATATATCTTTAGGTATTAAAGGATAAAAAAATTATTTCTCAAAAACGCGACATAGACGCGGCAACATCATGAGGTACTCTCCGGGGCAACTGATTCAAATTTGATTTAAAGATGAAAAGCAATTCACTTAATTTACTTCCCATTACCTAATGAAGATTTGAATAAAAAAAAAAAAAAAAAAAAAAAAAAAAAAAAAAAACAATTTTCGACTTGCAAAAAAAATACAACAAATGTCTAAATTTTTTTATCGAAAAAATCCTCCATATTTCACTAAGGAACGTTATTTTAAAGATATTGTAAAAAATTGAAATAAAAAAAAAAAAAAAAAAAAAAAATAGAAATTTTCAGCGTTACGTCGCTTTCCTTTTTAGAAAAATCATGTTTTGAGATAAACGACTTTAAAGTTTTAGCATATCTATTAGAGGTATATTTTTCTGTTCAAATAAGTGTTTTATCAAAGCTTACCGTCAGTCTGCAGTCTCAGGACTATAAAATTGCCCTTACACGTTTAAATGTTCGCGTTTCATATTCAAAAGCGCCCGAAGCTAGAATTGCATGCCGCGCATTTAAGGTGTTGCGAAATCGCGGAGAAACCGCATAATTCAAAAGCCAAATTCATAAACAACATCAAATATTTTATGGCAAATTTTTAATTTCTTGGTAAAGCAATGAAAAAGCTTTCGAATCGCTCTCAGCCATATATCTGCCCAATGGTTGCCTCTTTAATGCTAAGCTCAGTTAGTTTTGTTTCGAGATGGTTTTAAACGAATGCAACTAAGTACCTTCTAAGCAGGTCTGTTTGTGGATTAGGAACGTGCGAAATCAATAGAATGTAACTACTTAGCAGGTGCTAAATACTGAGTGAGCAGATAGTCTTCTCTGAAAGAAGCAAGAAATTTCAAGGAAACACTTTTTTGCTGCTAATGAAT